GCCACAGAGGCTTTGTCAGACTTCATCATGGTTGCCCAGAGGATATTTTAGATTTCATCATAAAAACAAAATGGGATTGTGGTTATAGGGGAATTGATAGTGGAGACTGGGACTTTTGCGGAGGGATTAGAATGTAAGAAGATAGTGCAGAAGGTAGTCACACCTGAGGAGTTGCAGCTGTACTAATGACCAAAGATTAGGAACAGGCCTGCCCTTAACAGGCCACAGCTGTGTCCAGTGAGACAACAAGTGCTACAAAGAGTGGGTTAGCTGGGTGAAAAGAGTTGCAGTTTGTTGATTTTGTGTCCCAGAACGGGTTAGTGTTGCAGGGAGCTGTCCATGAGAAATCACCAAGAAGGTATGGGACTTTGCAATAAGATGACAACAGACTTTGGTCTCTTGTTTTGCATTTCTTTGCAAACATAAGGAAAACACAGTGAATCAGAACCTGTCAAGATTGTTTTTGATCCCTTTCCTGAGGACTAATTAGGGGGGCACTTTCTCTAGAGAGACCCCTTAAATAGCCTATTGAGAAAAGACTATATCCTTATGTAGCATTTTTCCACTTTGTGCTCCAGACTGTCTGGGTAACGTTGACCTATGGGGTCAATTTTCTCACTGAGCAGCAATGACAGTTTATTGTTTGTTTTTATTATTATTGTGGCTCCTCCTCAGTATCCTATAGAAATGTACTGGAACAGTATGAGTAGATGAATGCTGTTATTTTTAGCTGGGTTTGTAACAGAAAGTACATATCCAAATATCTGTTCCTTCTGGGAAGTTCCCACAGGCCACGGTTTTTGCTCCTGTGTTGGGTAAACTTGTGTAGATTCAGAAGGAAATTCTGAGTTTTTGCAAAAATAAAAAAAAAATCAAATCTTTGAATACTTTCAAAGAAATCACTGCTTCTTGCAAGCTGAATCACCATCAGGTGCTGGCCTACCTTATGGAATAATCAGGAAGAATGAAATACATAATGTACCACCATTCTAACAAGGTGTTTTTAAGAGAAAGGAAAGCCTTCAAAAATACTTTGTGAAAACCACCATGTAACAGTAAAATAGTGAGTATGTGCTATTGCTGCCTAAAAAAATTTAAAGATAAATAACCAAAAGTTACAGACTCTTGTTTCATATCCAGGCTTTCCAGCATTTTAAATAACTCCAGTGCAGCATGGCACAACTAGCATTAAGAGAATTAGCACTCAATAAAGAATTACTAACAGATCAAGAGACCCTGAACTGGCATGAGAAAGACTGGAGCAGTCCTTTGGGTGGGCTGCTGCTACTCTCAAGCTATGGTGAAGACAACAATGGGCAACTGGTAAACAGTTGGGGTTTTTTCCCCTTCAAGGGTTTTGTATAAGTACTCATTATTAACATCAGAAGGAATTGCCTAATGCAATCTAAACCCAACAAGTGCTATCAGCTGCAATCATACAGCAATAATTGAGCACACTGTGCTTCCTTCAGTGTTTAGGAAAACAGAAGTGACTTAGAACATGACAAACAGATAGGCTGGTGCACCACTCTTGGGAATCAAGAGAGCCAGGAGATGAGATACCTAGCAGAAAAAAGTCTGTCCTGCTGCTTACTTTTTGCTCACATAACTTGGGAATTTCAGTGCTTCTGCTCAGAAGTAGCAAAGCAGTAATTGCTCAGATCTACCTGGAAGCTGCCTGTATCAGGCCCAGAAGAGGCCAGCTTGTGGAACTTCAGTCAGTTCCTCCACAAAAAAGGAAAACTCACCCCTGCCATGCTCCAGAGAGATGGATTTCCTGTGCTTTATGTTTTGAGCCATGTCTCTGCATTCTATGTATATTGTATTACTGTGTGCAACCACTATAGAAGTGTCAAAAACAAGAATAGTGAGGTTCCAATTGAAAAGTGACACTGAAACTACTGAGAAAACTGAAAGAGGGAGGTTGTTTCTCATCATCTGCAGGAGGCACAGAGCCAGAAGCTGCTGATGCTGGAATGTGCCAAGGAAACAGGGCTACTGAAAAGCCTAATTGGAATCATCACTTACCATCACATACCTGTGCTAGCACAAACATAATGGAAATGTAGCAACTGCACAACACCAGGCTGGTAATTCCTCCGTGAGCCATCTTCCAGGGAAAATAAGACATGCACTGCAGAAGCTGACTGAAATGTCTTATTTAGCCTCAGAAATGAGGACACAACCTGCTCTTCCCAGCTGATTAGAAGTGATTAGCTCTTCCTAAATCAATACACACACTGTCTATGTACAGTCTGTGGCCCCTCATGTCTGGGCCACAACACCTCAGGGGGCTGTAGCAGACCCAGACTGGTGAATTCTCTCAGCCCCCTGTGATGGGCTTTGCAGAATGCTGTTATCCTGACTGAATGTTCACTTCCACAACAAAGCCACAGAACATGAGTGAACTTACACTGAGCTTACCAACAGAACAGCATTTACATCCTCGTGCTGCCAGTGCAACACACAGAAACACCAAAGCACTGCACAGACTTAAAATGTTCTCCCATAAAACCCCCTACAGTCAAAAAACCCCATATAAATTAACAGCCTCTGGAAATAGGGATGAACTGAGATTCTGAAGGCAAACAACAGAGACAAATTATTCTCTCTCTCTCTCTCAAATAAGCAGGGAATCACTGATGAAATATAAAAGTAATTTAAAATCCCTGCTCCTGCTGCCCCTCACTCCCATATTGTTGTTGTTGTTTTTTCCTTTTACAAAATGCCTGACCTTTTACATAGGAAAGTAGAACAATGAAGCTCAGAAGAGGGTACCAAAATTCCTTGCTAGGAAAGAGTATGTGTTCTTTTGGAGCAAAAATTGCTAATTTTTAGGATTACAATCTTTGTTGTCTCTTAATTGTCTGTAAAAGCCCAAATTAACTACAAATCTACAACGAGGGAAAGGAAAACTAAATCTTATATCTTGATAGTTCATGTAATCAAATCCTATTTTGTGAATTGTCCAAGTTCTAAAATGCTCCAAGCTCTAAAATGAGTTCCCATAGTGTGAAAAAAACCCAGGTTTTTTTAGTTTCTTCTCTTGATTTTGGGTATCAAATCATGTGACTGTAACTTCAGGGTGTGTTAAGCACAAAACCTTCCACAGTGAGACCCCTTTCCAAGGACTGTCAAACAAAATCTGAAATTACTAACAACTGAAATCTTTGAAAATACTCTATGATGATTGATAGAATGATGTTTTCAAAGAAGAAAAATACAAATTGACTGTTGTCCATGTGAAGTTATGAACCCCTACAGGAACTTTGTGTGGACTCGCCTCCCTTGTGCCAGGGTACCACTGACATGCCAGTACCATGTCCATGTGATTGTCAGGCATTCTGTTTGAGAAGCCATTGTCACCTGTTCCACATTTGTCTGACAGGCACCACCACAACTTCTGTTCCCAACATTCCACGGGTCAGCACCATATTCACCCCTCCCATATGAAGTATCTGCAGACTAACGAGAAAGCAAAAACCTCAGGAGATGCAGCTATTTTTAAAAGACTCAACATTCAAGACTATGCATTTCCTCATATTTATTTTTAACTGTATTTTTCTAAAATATATTAAAATAGAAAAGATGTTCATCTGATTCATACAAAGAAAATACCAATAATAAAATAAGTAATAAAATACTGAAAATATATGAAAGCACCAAAACATTAAAATATTCATATTGGCAAAGACTCTAAGAATATATTTCTGGCAATTTTACAGTAAAGTGCTATTCAATCCACCCAAATTAAGGAATTGGCATTTTAATAGCATGGTTATTGTTATCTTAAGGTTACAAATTACTTTGTTACTTTTCTCACTAAGACAACAACCCATTTCATTGTAAGCAAAGCATTTGAGTTGCATGCACATAAAAAAGAACCCAAGTAACGGCTTCATTATAAGCAGTTAACAATATTAATTGTCAAGTCATTAGAAATACAAAATACTGAGAAACAAAATAGGCAGAAATGAGATTAGTGAAAAATTAGGAAAAAGCAGATGTGGTAAACCATTGTATAAATTAAGAGAGGACAGAAGACTGTGCAACAAACACTTATGCAGCCTTGCTTTGTACATGGCATTTTTTTAGTAATCATATTGCTGGCTTTATTAGTTAATCTGTTTGTTATTTTAAACTGCCCTTTTCTATTTTCTAGAAATAATCCTACATCACCAACACACTGTAAGCAAAAAGACAGAAGCAGAGTATGACCTTTATTTTTCCTTAACAATCACTTCTCATCTATTGAAGTCAGCAGACAAAACCAATAAATCTGTTACAAAGCCAATCTGTAGCAAAAATTAATTCAAGTAACATAATTCTATTAAATCTCCTAAGAGTGAAAATTTTAAAAGTATGAAAGATACCATCAGTCTCCTTTTAAGTTTTCATCATTTTAATATACATATTTACAGCAATGAGTACAAAGAATCCTTGTTAGCAAAGTTCTTTCTAGCTTCATGCACCATTTCCACAACAATTTCTGTGAAATGGCAGATATAATACTTTTATGCTGCCTTCAAGTGTATTTAATCTTTCTGATTTGACTTGCCTTTTTCATAATTTCATATGTAATTTAACCATATTGCACTGCTCAGAGTAAGTTCTTACACTGACTATTTAATAGCCTTTTTATGAACCAATAATAGGCCATCACAGTAAAGAAGTCAGCTCCCACACTCCTTCTGCAATTTGAACAGAAGTTCTTTCCAAAAAAAAAAAAAGAGAATAGGAATAGTGTCTTGTCTTGTGCGTATGTTTCTTTGTAAGAAATGTTTGCAATAACTTTTCATTTCGAAGAAGCACAAAAATAAGGAATTTAACCAATAAGAGCAATGAGTCTGAATTATCAAAATAATTACTAACAATACATATCTTCCTTTATGTGTACATACATACACCGATTATATAAAAAAATCCACCTGTACTACATAATTGCTGTAAATTTTCCTGGATGAACAGATTAACCTTGGAATAGGTTGACTGTTTGCATCTTCTATGGGAGTGATTCAGAATGTAAGAATGAATATGATGAAAAGAAATGAAATATTATATTTTAAGTACTTGAATAGAAGAAAAAAAAAAGCACAGCAGTCTTAAATAATGTTGTATTTGGTTTCCTCCTTCCATTCAGTAGTTTTTATTGAGTTGTACAGTGAAAATAGGTCCTAACTTTAACATCTTCCTCATGCCCTATTGTAAGAGTCAACTTAGACAATAATTTCAGTAATTTTGTTGGCTGGTCATTCATTTCTTCCATCTTTTTTTCCCCAGTAAACTGTTCCTTGTTCATTGCTGTAGGCTCACAAACCTCATTTTGGCAGTTCCAGAATCCAAGTGCAGCACTGCAATCTTTTTGACTCCAAGGAGCCATGACAGGCAGCAGCACATCCAGGGCACAGCAATTCTTTTTAGCTTCTCTGGGCATAGGCCAGGTAGAAACAGAAGGCAGCAACAGTAACTGATAGCAGTGATAAAACAACTGACAGCTGCTGGAACCAGAGGCAGCGATTCATCTGCTCCTCAAGTCTTTTATTAATCTGCAGTAAATGAGTTAGCTGAAAATAGAACAGTTTCATTAAGTCAGAATTACTGCACTTGAAAGCACTTGGCAATTTTGAGCTATTCTGGCAATAAGGAGAAAAGATAAAGAAAAAGAAGAAGAAAAAGAAGAAAAAGAGGAAGAGAAGAAAAGAAAAGCGAAAAGAAGCCTTCTCTCAGTGGTCTCTCAGCAATACCTTTTCTATCACTATACACTTCAAGAATCTCTCCCACTAAAGGAGCTTCAAATCTTAAGTTATAGATAAACAATAAGGCCTGCATCAAACAGGTGACATCTTTACACTCAGAAGCAAAAGACTGTACTGATGCTCATTGATATGCCAGATCTGTATATCCAAAAGAACAATGAGCAAACTGCATTGAAAGTTTAATGATTATTAAATCATTATCATTAAACAAAATAATTAAATCACTATAACTGATGTAGTTACCTTAAATTGCTGAGACATTCAAATAGTATAATTCACAAAATACCAAAAAGGTTCAGTAAAAATTCTTTTTATCTCTACCATATTCTATAATTTTGCTGAATATTCAGAACAAAGGAATAAGCTATTACCTGTATATGTAAATCTTCATTAGTTTTTGCTGGAATATTAAATGCATTGTCTTTTAATGTCAGAGAAGAGGGCTTACTACTTTCTATGACGTGACACCTGAGCCTGTAAAAAGGAAACAAGAACACACACCGAAAATCACAAATGTAATGCAACATTGTATAATTAGGAGTAAACAATCCATCTTAAGAGGATAAAGTCCCTGCACTTTTAAATTTAAGAGACAATAATTATAATTACACTACATTTAGTCTAGGTTTACCAAAAAATAAAGGTCAGGTTTGTATTTGTGAGTAACTAATGTACACAGCACACTTGTAATCAAATTACCTCTCTCTATTGTTTCAGGGTCTGTCTTTAAAAAAACCCATATAAATTGCACCACTTATGCAAGGAAGCTCAAGGTCACTCACATGATGCAGATTTTAATCAAAGGGGAAGTAAGGGATAAGCCCTTGAAGCAAACACAGAACAAGATTTAGGCATCAAGACTCACAAAATACTTTTTCCACGGTAGTTTTGGCCATGAGGGGGTAAAGACAGCTCAAAAAAAACCCCATCCCCACAAACTCACAGAAAAACCCCAGGAACCATCTACGGCAAAAAACCAGTCAAATCTGCAGGGAACCTTTCCTAGTTCAGTGATATCACCCAATATGACTGGATGAGAGAGAAGAGCAACAGGTGCATTTAAAGAAGTGTATGGGGAAATGTATTTTTAAGCGATTTTTCTAGATGATTTTTTCACAATTAAATATCAAAATACACATATGAACATGTGATAAGTTTTACAGAAATTTTCTACAAAATTTCCTAGTAGAAAGGGAACATTTTTAATACTGTCTAGAAAATAGTTTTGTGTTTATATGTCTGCGTTCCTTGACTGCTTCCTTTTAGAAAACTCAAGTGACACATTCTTATTAAAAAACCAGAACCTCTATTGTTCATGTGTATTGTCACATGCATTCACATTTTTTCCACTTAACTCTTAATTAGCACAAGAATAATTAGAAAAAAAGAAGAGCACATCCAGAATACCATTTTATACATGAAACCCACATCTAATCATTTAAAACAGAGCAGAAGTCTCAGCAATGTATTTTGTTCAGTAACCACACAAGTGAATTTGGAGAATCCCTCATTGATTTTGATTACACAAGTGCTATAAATCAGCTAAATAATAAAAGCTTAAAAACCCCCAAACCCCTGTTTACCAGAAAACCATATGCTTACCTATGTTCCATCACTTTGGTCCTAGGGACTTCTTTCCAAAACTGAGTCAGTTCTGGCACACCTGCTCCAGAGGACTGGTCCATTTCTGCTGCCATTATAAGGAAACGATCCTGCAAAGAAGCTGCAAAACCTGCCCTCAAGGAAGAAAAAAGCAAAACAAAAAAAAGCAACAGTGTGCTTTGATAAAACAACAATATTGCAAGAATAGAAGTATTTTGCACAAAAGTGCCATAAAATAAGAACTTGCTTATTGCAGGACACCAGACACTGACTTGCTAGAAATAAAAATGAGGAAATCATTTTCTGAAGCCCAATAATTCTAATTACAGTTTTCCCAAAAATATATATGTTCATTTTAACAGAACTAGTTTAATCTTAATAGCTCAAAGACAACCCAAAATTTTGTAAAGAACATATTCTCCAGCAAATTCACCTGTCCTTGCAACAATTTAGGAAACTGATTTACTGTTGATAAACTCCTACTGTAATAATGAACCAGTAAGACAAGTGCCACTCAGTTTTTTTGTTTTTTAAGACAAGAAACAAAATGGGTTGCAGACAACAGCTGCTTATGCCTGAGTGGAGAAGTAAATCAGTACAAGCAGTTACTCAAATCCTTTCTGACATCCATGTTTTTCTAACAAATGGTACCATTCTCACACAAGAGTCAAGTAGACATGGGCATCAGTCAGTCCCACACACCAGCAATCACACACAACCATCAGTGCCTAGAGCATGTCTAATGCTACTTGCCCAGATTTCTTACAACCTCTGTTTTACAGTTTTACTTACCACCATGAAGAGAAACTATTATATCTAATGAGGTGCCAGGTTCACAGCTGCTGTTACTGGGTTTAACCCTGTATTTTTCTGGTGCAGTTGTTCTCACCTATAAACAAGAAATATGAAGGATACATTAAGTGCATGCAGAAATTACAATTGCTTCATAACTTCTCTCATTCTGTAATAACTAAATCCCTGAAAGCTTGACTATTAGGACAAATCACTAAAATACATCATTTTGTAAGCATAATAGGACTCTTGCATATTTCTTTTTCCTCCCTGTCAATTGCATTTATCCTTTCTTTTCTTTCATTTGCTATTTTTCTTTTGCATACATATTTAAAACCAGCCAAGAACATGTTATAATAAATATGAAAATATGAAAACTTTAAGTTATTTTAATGTGCAGAGAATGCAAACAATGGGAAAAAAATCCACAAAGATGCAAGTAAACTCTATCTTTCTGAAGCAAATATAACTACTAATTCTTTTGATGGCGACATTTGCAGATGGATCTGCACCATTTTGGAGTATAACTAACTTGTTTCCAGCCAGTATTTTAAAAGAAAAATTCTAAAAAGATGACTTCTCAATGCTCAAGCCTTTCTTTTTCAAAAAGTATTACTCTCACTAAAAAACCAACCATCACTTTTGCTCTTTTTTAGTGAGTGCTCCAAAGATTTGTAATAATAATTACCCCCTTTGAGGTGGTACACTGTAGGCATAAATTCAGCCAGAAGATCTTTGATCTGCCTCAAACAACACTACACAATAAAAAAATTTGTCTGTAAAATGGATTTCATAGTATTCTTCCTCCTTACAGAAAACAAGAAAAAGTTACACATTTAGTAAACCAGACCACACATAAAACACTTACTTTAAAAGCCACTACATTTTTAGTGATGTTTGTGAGAACTATCAAACATTTTTTCTCTCCAGTTTCTTTGGATCCAAAATATAGCTCTTCTGCTGGGCTAATAGGAAATTTAAAAAGAATTAGTTTCTTCAGATTATCTTTACAATAGATCATACAAAAAACTTGACCACACCTCCAGGAAAATAAGATACTTTCTACCCTGAAGCTACAGTCAGCATTAACAGATTTTCATCAAAAAAAGCTATGAAAACAAAAAGCAGAAATTTTGTAGTGAAGCTCAGGGTTGACTCATGACAAGTGGAACTGGCTGCCTCAGCTGATAACTGCCCTTGACTTCTGCCATCTGTAACAGCAGGATCAGCCAACAGATACTCAGAGTCAGCTACTGCATCTTTGGGCAGTGTGGTAAGGGAAAGCATTGCTGACTTTAATTTATGCTCATGTTAAGGAGTATAAGGTGTCACAGACAGGGAGGAATTTCAACCTCAAATATCCATCCTTGTCATGGGTATAGTGCACACATAAGAGAAGGCAGATATCCACACCTGGCAATCATTTCAACCACGACAGCTGAGTCCACTTGTACTTATGAGTCAGTCTTCACATACTTGTGGTACCACATGCATAAATAAAGTTATTGCTTGTTTTTAATATTCTTGTGCAATTAAGAGAGTCATGCATGAGATAATTTAAACCACATCAAACTAACACAACTCAATTTGGATAAGCATTCAAATGAACACCAGTAGGTAAAATGTAGGGCATGCTCATATAATTGTTGAAAGGAAACTTGAGTAGCAAGTGAAGAACTTTCATTATGTCACATGAGGAGCACGCAAAGAACTGCCATTCTACTGCGTACTAATGAACTGCATATCCTTTTTCAAAACTCGTGATTTTTTTTCCCACGTCCTCTTTTTGAAATGGCAATTTCATGTTAGTTTGACCTCCTCCCTAAAAGACTTCCTTTTATGGTACCAATCCTTCTTCTCCTACTTCACCCAGGGTATGAGCTGAGCAGAAAAGCCCTTGGTGCTGTAGGGCGAGTGTGAACGCCCCTGCTGGAAGCGGGTTCTGGGGGTGACTGTGATGTTGGGGTGCTGATGTCTTACAGGGCATTAGTCAGTTTACATGACAAGGCTACTTCTTTTGTGGTGAGGATAAGGAAGTGGGCAAGTGGGCCAAATAAGGCAGAAACCAGTAAAGGGATGGGTTTAAAACCACTTCATAGGGTAATTCCCTCCTCCTCTCAGTATTCTTGCATTTCCAAATTGTCAGCTTAAATAACCAGTGCTAGGGAAGGGTTGTAGCTACAACATACTTTAGCTGTCTTAGTACTGTACTACTGCGGCCGTGTGTAACAGCAATTGCAAGATGGACCATAAATGAAACAAGATAATAATCAGCCTCAAAAGAAGCCACAAACATGATTAAGGGAAGGAATATTCTGCCAGAGCCTGATCTTTCTTGTTCTACCAATTATGGTCATATGGGGGAAAAAAAAAAAAGCTTGGGGACCACAGGTCTATGGCTCTTGTCAGTGAAATCAAGTTCCACAGCATTGAAGGTAGGTGGCATGTATCTATTAGGAGGGTGGATTGTTTAAAAAAAACACCCAAGCTTTTTAACTTTCACAGATGCAGGAATTTCCTTAATCTGATGTGTGTGACATAACCAGCTTGTGCTAGAAATTCCTGTACCACAACACACCACGAGTTACTCCTCCACCAGACAGTACAAGGAAGCTGCTGCTTTTTGTCTGCCCAAACAAATTCATTTATTGAGGAGGAAAGTCAGAGGCAGCCTTTCATTGAAAGGTATACAAGGCAAACACAATTGTGGTCTAAATGAGGGAGACAGCCGACTCATAAGCATGACTAAACATACAAGAAACAAAAGAGCACGAGGACGCAGCTCTGGCCCGTGATTTTCTGGTGCCAGAGCTGCAGTGCCTCAGCTGTGTGCTCAGGCTCCAGGCTGCTCCCTGCACAGGGCAAGGCTGGGAGATGAGCAAGGGTGCAAGTCAATCAGGATGGCAGAGCTTATGGTCTCTGTGGTGGGTGCCTACAAGTGGTAATGAATGGCACTGTATATTATTGGTTCAATCACTTTCAGTAAAATGGGCAGAGCAACAGCTGCACTCAGGATTTTACTTTAAAAACAAAACAAACAGCAAGAACAATGAAGACACCAGTATTTTATTTTCTATGACAGCAAGACTACAAGTATTAACACCTCTATACTTGACTAACTTTACTCTTCCATGTGTTGCAGTCCATTTAAGTTACTTCTATTCAATGACAGGTTGAAGTATTTTAAGAGGAAAAAAGGAAGTTTCTGGGGGTGTTTCTGCTTGTTTGGATTTTTTTTCTTGTCTGCTTATGATTTTTGCTCCTTTCTTTTTTAATTAAAAAGTGGTTGGAATAACACATCTAGCATTTGTGATTGCCACAGAAAATGTTCAACATTCTTTTATAATCACAATTTTGCAGTTTATGCCTTTGCCTTGCCATACAAGAAACTAAGGCTATACAGAGGAGGTTCTTCATTTCAGATTTCAATTTACACATATAAAATATATTTGTGCTAATGAGCATGTCATTATTAAAATTCATTCCAAAACTAATTCATTACAGCACTTAAAAAGTTAGCTAAGAAATTACCTAAAAATTAGATATTTTCTTCATTCATCTAATAGCAAACTGAAAGTGAAAATAAAAGTTAACATCTAAATCAAATTCTAAACAATCATCTTAACCTAAAAGGCAGTGAAAAGAAAAAGTGATATTGGCTAATTGATTTCTTTATTTTAGTTTAGTGATAAAAATAATTGCAAGATGGATGACAAAATCTTCTAGGTAGATATGTCATTATAGAGCCCTTTCCATACAAAATAAACTGGATCCATTAATCAAGTTCAACTGGTGGAAACTATTACTGTAGACATTTATACCATCAAAAGCCAAAAGAATTCCAGCAAGATTTGAGAGTAAAAACTGTCTTGAAAAAACATTGGTTTTTCTTGAGCCAATGAAATCAAACCATGTCAAACCAGTCCTCTCATTACAGATAAGGACTTAACTTAGTCAGATGGTTTCCCAATATAAACAAAACACTTGTACAATTCTATGGAATATACAACTATTTGTACAAAAGTACAAAAAGTATACCAATCTTTAGTGACACCAGAAGATTCACTGAAAACTTGTAAAACCAGAAAAACTCTTTAAGCTTTGTAAAAATCCATCCTAAGAAGTTGTTTATAATTTTTTTTCCTCTAACAGTCCGAAAAAACTTTATTTTGAAAACCAACTAGTTCAGTACTCAAGTGTCCAAGGCACATTGTAAAAAGAAAATTTAAGAAAATTATTATTACCTGATATGTAATAAAGGTCCTTTAAAAGTAGTTAATGCTTTCTTTGCATTTTTTGGTTTGACCTCTGTTTTGTCAGTTTCCTCTGATTTGGAAATTTGTTCTATAGAATTCATCTGAGTAAAAATGATAGTTATAATGATTAACTAGAAACCTGGATTACACATTACAGAATCATGCAGGCATTTCAAAGAATATGATGAGGCTTATTCAACAGTTTACAAATTATAGACCAAGCCTTATATATATATTCATTCTCAGAAGGTGCTTGAAGTCCACTGAATAAAATTCTTTACTATAGAAGTTACATAACACATTAAATGTGTATGAAACAAAAACTCTGCTCTGGTTTGTTTTTTTTTACCAGGTATTTTCCTGCTGGTCAAGTCTGGTTTTGAAAATTCCAGACACACTAAGTTATAGCACATCAAAGGTTATAAAGCACTGGTATTCATCCATTGCAAATTAAAATTAAAACAGATGAAAACAATACCATCACTGTACCACTGTAACAGAAAGCACAGTGCCAATTCCACACTTCATTGCATTGCAGGGTAGCTAAACATATCTTCATTGCTCTTAGATGAAACTCTGAAGTATTGCAGAACATAAAAGAAATAATGCTGATTGAATTGGTGCCTTCAAAACTGCAGGTAAATCTTAGGTTCTGAGGGTTTTCTTCTATAATATTTGGAAAATACATGCAAAACAGGGCAGGTGCTGGGGGGGGGGTACAGAAGACTGAAAGAATTAGTGACATCATGATTCCAGATCAGCTGACTGAAGAGTCTGCTTAGTCTCCTTTTTTATTCCCCTCTTAATACACAGAAAAGACATGAAGAGAACTCAGTTTATGCAAGTTTGAAGTATGGGAATGAAAGGAATACAAAACTTTATATGAAATAGGCTGTATAAAAAGATCCCACATGGGAACTTTTTAAATAATTATATAAAAGTGGTAGAAAAAGGTTAGTGTGTAAATACACTGCACCAGTTATATGTTAGGCTTTGTTTGACATAAAACTACCAGAAAAAATATTACTGTAGATTACAAAAGTGGAAGCACCTACAGGACAGGCACTTACTAACCAGGTTTATCCCTCATGATTCCTTGCACTGAAAAAAATTGAGTTACCTTGGTTACACTGAATAAAAGTGAAAACAATTATAAGCTTTATGGTATTTCAAGAGTAAAAAAAGTAAAAAACCTAAAATACCTTAAGTAGAAAGCTAAATCACCCAAGCAAATTAAAATCCAGCAAACACTGAGGCTTATTAAGCACCAAAGGCAACTCACACACAAAGTAGAAATTCTTCATGTTTCTGTATGTGAGAATCATAGCTTCTAAAATGTGCCCCAAGGAAAACAAGCTACTGAGTCTAACCATGGTTATGTAATGCTTCCTTTTGACCTTAAGGTCAGTGAAATTATCTTTTTTTTTTTTAAAGCTGGCAAAGTCTCAAATAACAGCTGGACTACTTAGTGATCCGCACATTTCAAATTATTCTGACAAACCCGTAACAGTAAATGAAAATGTATTCTACTCCACTAAACAGAAGTTTTGCAAGTAACATTCCAAAATTAATTATGGTAACAAAGTAGTGAATTTCAAATTCTTTTCTACTATTTTCAAGAGCAACATCCCCAGTTAATATTACTGCATATTCCTAAATATCTCTTCATATGAACTTGTGCAAAACAATGCCTTTATTTCTGGATAAACAACACTGCAGGAAGATTATGTTGCAAAACATGATTGATGGAGTAGGAATACAATTTCTCCTGAGAATAAATGAAAACATTATATGTTGAGATTTTATCAATAATTTAAAAAACAAAGTAACATCCAATAGTGCATAAATATTTAACAACATTTTTTCATGTACATACTGATTTAAGTATCAGAGAAAACTAGATCTATTTCAAAATGATCACCACTAAATATACCAAGATTAAAAAGAAATCTACCAGAAAGACAACCTTTGAAAACAAAACACAGAAACCTTTTTCCTTTTGCTGTACAATTCACTATATTCCAAGAGACAGACTAAATACTTGGTGCATATTTTATGCATTCTGAAGCATGAACCTTAACAAACCAAGAGGCAAGGTTGAAACTGTAATTATAATTTTTCAGTTTTCCTGTGTTCTTTTGCTAAATTAGAAGACAGAAAAACTGTTAAAAACATACAACACAAAGACAAATAACCAAAACTATACTCCTCTTGTCCCACTTTGTAACCATCTAGCTAGTCTTGCCTAAATCTTCACTTAGATACCTTTTTCTGATTAAGGTTTTGTGCTTCATTCAGCTCCCCAGTCTCCTTGGTGTCTGCATCTATCTCTTCTTTACTTTCATGCTCATCTTCACTTGTAATGGGCCCATTTTCACATAAAGGAGTTTGAAAATCATCATCAACCAAAGGAGGATAACTGTACTTGAAAGAATCCTGAAAGATAAGGATTTATAAAAGACGAGTTATTCAAAAGGATTAGAAGTGCCTTCTCTAGGGTTTTTTAAATGGAAATAGTGTCTTTGTTTCTTGTTTCACATTACTTTTATGTTTCATTTATCCACTTCAAGTTGCACCCCTGCAGAAAGCTGACACCAAGAATTTCTATTTTATCAATAGACAAATAAATACAGTCATCCAACAAAGCCAGTAAACTGTAACTTGGATTTATAGTCACAGCAGAACTACAGAAGCTGGTCTATCAAGGATCAGCACTCAGAGTCTAATTGCTGAAGTTCTCGCCTTAGTTCTCAAAAATGTGGTTTAAAACTTATGACAGCTATTTCTGAAAATATTTCAAAAGTGATGAAAAACATCAGTAGTTCCTTGCATGTTAGTTTCACAATGGCCACTTTAAAAAAAGGAAATAAAGCCCAAAACCATAAAACAACCCCAAATAATCCCTTAAACTTAACATAATGTGTGTGTAGACCTTTAGCATATTCTGCAATTCAGACCTCTAGTCTTTGGAATGCCAAATCAATTTAAAGACCACATTTAAGACATCTGAGTAATGCAGCAGCAGAATACTTAAGTTCTCAATGACTCTACAATAAAGGTACCTTTTCCATTGGAAGATCAGTAAAAAACAATTTTTGCTAACTGGAAATGTTCTTAACATTCTCTAAATTGTTTTATTACATTTAATGTTAGAGGCAGTGTTTGAACAGGGATCTCTGTTCCTACTGCATTTTCAAGCAGTTTTAAGCATCAAGTAAACTGATCTAGTCTGTCAGCTTTTCCAGTGGAGAAAAATATCATAGCTTTGACTCCTGTGAGGCAGAATGGAGCAATGCCCCTGCTTCACAAATGAAGCCTCCCTCAGCAGGGAGTTACAAAAAAGGTGTTTCAAAAGTATACTTCCTGCTCATCTATAATCAAGGTCTTAATCTCATCTACTCCTTTGTAGCAACAGTCAAAGACCTCTAGGTGAATGAAACAGGTATTCACTGGCACAAACAATATCCTATTAAGGACCAGAAGGACAAGTTTTAGGTATCAGCTACAGACTAAATCACTATTAAAAGAAGACTCCAGTCCACAAGAAATCTTACAGCAGTCTTACAGAATACTGACATCCCACATTTGACAGAAACATCCAGCTTTCACTTACCCAAACCACCAAAGCCTTGTCATTCCCTCCCAGCATAGGATGTAGGGCATGTAAAAAAGTGAACTTAATAGATGGAAATGAATTTTGCTGCACATATTACTTGGCCTTCTTAATCCATGCAGCTTGATAGCTTCAAGAGCTGAGTTGTCCCACTGATGAGATTCTGTTCCAAGTCCCATACTTCCTAGTCACAGTGCCTAAGTTTCAGTGGCATGGGTATATCTACTAACAGGGTGAAAACCTCAGCCAGGTAAACAAGACACTTATTCAATGCCTGATCCATCCATTCTATAAACTTATGGCTCTTTTTTACAGCAGATCTAGAGAATGCATGCTACAATTTTTGGCAGTTTTTGTAGAGATGTCTTAATCATAGTAGTGATATATTCTAAGATTACATGCACACAGTGGCCATGAAGTCATATGCAAGCTTAGGCATGTCTTAACTTCAGGCCACTGACCTACATAAGGTAATTCCAAGAAAACCTGAGGGCTATCAATTTAGAAACCCAGGTGAAGAGCACAGCAGTTGCACACATTGTTCAATACTGGCACCAGTAGAGACAATCTCAATCAATTCATCCTTGTTAAATCCATTTTCTGACAGAGAAAGGTTGGGCAAAACAACAAATCAAAACCCTACTGTGTGTTCATGTCTTGTATCAAAGTGTACACAATACGTACTTGAGTCTTGCAGAAAATATTACTGAAGAGACAAATCTCTCTTCTCAGTCAGAAATGTGTATGCCTTAAGAACTGGACTGTTCCCACAGCTGGACATGGCAGAATGTGTGATGCAATAGATAGGAAAGCCAGAAAACATTGACTTAGGCTACATTTATTACTAAATAAAAAATATTACCAAGTGGCTCTTGAGCACCTAACCCTAATTTTCCAGGCTGGCTAGCATCAGCTTGCTCCTAGATCTGTCCTGGGCATTTTGACAAGATCTACTGCTATAAAGCAAATGACCTCTATGCACTATGGACAAGAACAACTCAAAGCCACATATCTGATGTGCAGCATGTATGGATTAGCAATATGGTAACAGCCACAGCCAACAGACTGATGAGGACTTCAATGGAACTTAGACCAAATCCATATTCTGAAGTCTTGAAAAACCCAAGTTTCTATTTTCCATAATTAGTTTTAATGCTTTTGGTACTCTGGAGACACCTTTGCCCACTAGTTGTCTAAAAATAAAGCATGTAATATTCCTCTTTCACAGTCAATCAAAGGATTTTAAAGCTATGGAAAGTTTCTAATCCACCTTTTGAGTGACCCTGAGACAGACTTAAAATATGCTTAAAGATAACTTAATTGAGACATTGAAGTTGGATGCTTTCAGAGACAAAGAACAGTTCCCTTAGTTAAGCAAAGTAATCACTGACTTCAGGTTTAACGCTATTAATTCTACAGATTATTTTTTTCTGTTGCTTCCAGAACTAGTCTAACAGTCTTTGAAATACAAAGAACATAAGTGCAGTGGAATCTAGTTATGTCCCCAAATTAACCAGCCAAATGATCTGCTCCACTGGCAGGACCTGGCTCCTCAAAATTGCATCCTGGTAGGGGACACAGCAAAGGATGCAGACATGCTGTGCTCTTCACTGGCATTAGGCTCGTGGAGAATATGAAGATCTGTAACTAAAAGCGTGGAAATCAAAGATGACAGAGAGGAAATCAGAAGGAGGAAAAAAAACCCAAACTGCCTCACAAACAAAACCAAACACTTGAGAGAAAAATGGAAGGAATCAATTTGTGCAAGTCAGATACTGCATTTTAAAAAGCCAGGCTTGACAATACTAATAATGGTGAATTGTACTCCAGCTAGCTGCCTCAAGAGAAGCCAAGGTTAATCACATCAAGAAAAGTTAAATTCTGAGAAAAGGGCATTATGTTGTCTGTTGTCTGGTCAGTGAAAAACTCCCTGCTATCAGAGATGCAAAGATCCTGCTTTACTGTATACACTGAAAAAATCTTGGGAAGAAAGATTCAGAGCACAATTTTGGAGTCTCAGTATTTGCTAACAATTCTTCCAAATTCTGACAGTTCTGAGGTTAACAGCTCAAAACATCCACCAAGTGAAACTCAGTAGTTAGACAAAGAATATGCTGGTTCAAAATACAGGGCTCTTAATATGCAGAGATAAAACTGTTCTGCTGAAATTGTTAAAACCCCTGGAGTTGTGTCAGACAAGTTTACTACTATTCTACTACTTTATTTCTGCCACTGCAACTTTTTACCCCAGGCAGATGATGTGGATAAGCTGCCTCCATGATTCTGAAACTTGTTCATGCTCTCAGATGGGCAATATGGAGCCAGCTTGATCAACAATCACTAATCAGCAATCAGACCGTTCAGGCCCAAGGCAGGATTACAAATAACTGTGTGTTCCATCAGATGCTTCAGTAGGGTATATAGCAAAACCACACAAGTTTTTTCTTTAAAGACATAATGAACTATTAGGTAAGAGAGTCTAAAAAGCAGATGGGAGATACTCAACTTTAATAAGGAAAAATACTTGTCCCTCTATTGCAACAATAGGACAATACTACAGGAGGCAATCCCAGAACCAGTGCTAAACAACATTTATTCCTTACTGAAACCACTTCAGACCTCATCAGCCCTTCCCTCAATGCCCACTCCTGCTGTGCAGTAATTTCCACTTTTTCCATATGAGGAAGTTCCTATGTGAGAGTGGGAGCTGGGGCAGCAATTTTCCATGGAGAAAAAGGTATCTTTTCCTCAAGAGCCACATGCACTTTTTAAAGGCTTCTAATCTCAGTCAAATGAAAATCAAAGTAACATTATTTATGTTACCTAAACAAATTTATGTCCTGGCCACAATAACACTGCCCTGAATTCATATACAAAGGAACATGGCCTCCCCTACTATTGCTGAAACACAACCCTCCTTTTCTCCATATTGTTGCTGCCATAATGCCAAAAGTACTTCAGAAAAGAAAAGGTGGAAAAAGAACCATGAAAAGTAACTCTCCTGCAGTGGGCTTATTCTTCTACCATAAATGGCCTATTAATATTTTAAAGCATAATTTTTCTGCTAATTTATTTTAAAGGTTATGCAATACTGATCTACTAGCCTTGTGAAAAGTGAAACCTGTTGTGCAAGTTGCTTGGTGCTGTTGCACTCTTTAGATTGCACTAGAACTGGATTCTGGTTCTGTTAAACTGATGCTGCTGTTAAACTGGAGCTCTACTGTACTCTTTGAAAAGAAACTTCTACAGCCATGTCTGAAAATGCAGCCCTAGAGACAGCAAAAGAAAAACAGCTCCAATATAAGTGTCTTTACTGAATCATAGCTCTGGAGCAGGGCTAGAACTCTCAGAGGACAATGAAACCTACTTTCTGTTCATAGAATTTGTTTCATAAACATACACCATTTCTAATTTACCAGGGAGTAAAAAAAGTACAAGTGACAATGACAGATAATTTTTCTTGAAAGCCTGAAAAACTAAGTGGTTTTCAGTGACTTATAAGGAGATGAATAGTTCAGAAAAAATAGTAACAGTAGTTAAGAATATACTTAAGAATGTAGATATCAAATTCTCATGAAGTTCACCTATTTTACATTATTGTGATTTTGAAATTATCACTGGCAAAACAATTTAAAGAAATCTCTCATCTGTGAAGAGCCAACCCTCAACCTCACATATGGAATACAGGTGCCTCAGACTATCACAACAGAAACATGACATTTCATACTTACAGTTCCACCCATGTGAGGTGGCAGATACTCTGCACTGATGTATTCCTGCACATCATTCTTGTTTGTGAACTTTAACATGCTTATTGCATCTGGGCCAAGCCAACCCTTCACGATTTTAAAAGCAGCTTTGAAAAACAAAACACCAAACAAAACAAAAGATATGCATGAGTTAACAGGAAAGCAGTTTTGTTATTTTGTTTTTGTAGGTTTTTTTCAGTGTATTGGTAGACCTTACATAACACAAGTGAGTTACATCCCTCAGAATATTGCAGAACCTGCTCTTAAAGCAGGTTATTATCAATTATAATTGGAATGAGCAATGCAAGGGGAAAAAGGTATTATTTACAGATAAATGGAAGGAGTATCTTTGATTGAATAACTGACAACTCTGCTGTTTTAGAATTTGGCCTTTGAAGTACTGAGCAGGTAAAACCAATTGTGTTTCCAAATCTGAGTGAGGGAGGTTGGGAAAGATGTATACACTCTCCCTTGCAGAAATGTTTGGCTCACTTAAAGGATATTTGTTTAAATTAATGAAGCATTTACAAAGACCATTGTTAATTCAGTGACAGTAAAACATGAATATGCAGGAAAATATAAAACCAATATAAAAATATGTATTCATATGTCAACAACAGAGAAATAGTGTATTTATCCTGTACATTATAGTTACAACTAATTATTAAAGTATCCAAATCAGAAGAAATGTAACCACATCTGCAACCAGTCTCAGGCATCTATCCTAACTTGTGCATTCTAGTTTTGAGCTGGTTGTAAGTCACCATCACTGCTAATGACAGGACTGCTGAAAGGATTCTAGTTAGCAGCACTCAAGGAATAGATTATTTATCAAGATCTCCTAGCCTTTGAAAACAACAGGATGAATACAGACTTCATGTAAAGTATGATCTAAAATACAATGATAGAAAGAAAAATAGAAAGAATGCAACCTTTAAACTGACAGATTTAAAGATGCACGTTTAACAAACTCCATTATTCATCTGTATCTACACAGAGTAGAACAATGTTTCTTATTTATGCTGCTAAATTTTAAAAGTTGTCACAATCCAAACATAAAAAAACAACAAAAAACCCCAACTTACCATTCATTATCCATGGCATTTCAAATATTACTATCTTTGCTGAAAAGAAAAAAAACATCTGAATACCAAGTGCTAGGTATTTCTCTATTTAAGAGCAAGTTCAACAATAACATTCATGTAAAAAGTAAATATTCACTTTTACAAACCTCCATGTTCACCTCCTTGCAAAAGCAATTTTGTACAAATTAATTGCTATTTAGAAACATTAGCTGTTTGTTTGGAAAAACTTAATAAAATCCCAAGCAATACATTGGTTATGTACTCCCTGGGATATTACTTTCTGATATTTTGTTATCACATATAAAGCAAAGACAAGCTCTCAACCTGACCTAGAAAACCAGCTACTGAAAAGAAGAAAGTTTAAAAAGTATATTCAGCCCCCCCTTACTTCACAAAGAAACAAATAAGTCTTTATTTTCTCCAAATATTCTTTATTTAACCATAGAGGTTAGAAAACACTTAAGTGTCCCAATTTTTTTTCCTCTTGAATGTCAAAAACAATGTTGCACTTGCCTTTAAGTTTGATATTTGATCAAAGCTTTGAACTTTGATCAGCAAGCCAAAATTTAATATTCAGAGTTTAAGCAGTTGCTGTATGGAAGTTCAACATTCACAGCCATTTTCACCTAAAATTTACAACATATTTAAGATGAACTAGCATAAACTATGCAGTGTTTGCCTATGCATCAAAAATCTAGCAGGTAAGTATGCAGAGTTTTTGAAGTATGCACACAAAAATGCCTTTTCAGAATAAATAATTTTCAGAATACACCATTTTCATTTTCAGAATAAACCATTGCTCCTCATAAACTTCTAGAGCCATTCATTCTTTGACCACTCAAGGCTCCTAAAGGATACAAACTATCAAAGTTTGTAAAGCTTCTACACAAGTAACAAGCAAAGGAAAACAAGCAAAGGTTGTTTGCTTGAAAAGAAAAGAGAAGAGAGAAATTCTTTTCTCTTATGAGCTTACAATAGTTCTTACTAGGTATAAACATAGTAAGAACTATTACTTAGTAATAAACATTATTACTTCACAAAAAGACAGTTGATTTTTGATGAAAGTAAAGTTTATTCACAAAATTATGTTTCATGAAGTTACCCCAGAAAGCACATGAAAAAAACCCTTATTTTCCCCATCTTCTATCATATTATGCAATGCTCTTGTTACACCACTCTACAATGCTTAATACTTATTATACAATACTTACTGAGAAAATTTGGGTAATAATCTGTAAAACAGTTGACAATAAACCGGACAAAATCCAAGTCCTAAATAAAAAATCAAATAAAATTTAAAAAAAATCACAGCATAAAAGCAAAGCAAGCCAAAACATTAAAAAGTACAGGTTTAGTTAAAGCATTTAATAAAAAGCACAAGATAGATATCTTGTAGTCAACTATGATCAAATTTTACATACACTACAAATATCCTCAAAACACAATGCAAGGCTTTTCCCTCCATTAAACTGCTGCAGGATTGTGGTCATATTTCCCTTTATAATCACAGAAAGAAGTCAACAGACCTCTGATCACTGCAATAATTAAGATATCTAAACTATGCTGAGTATCAACAGGCTTAAGATGCACAGGAAAGATACAGGAAAAAGAAACCTTTAGCACTAGAGAAGCTTGACAGATGGAAGAATACTCAATATGCTACTGCACTCAGTATTATATTTTCAAAGGAAAAAAAATAGGTTTCCTTTGAGAAGAATTTTTAGGTTTAGTATTAGTTGGTGGAATGCAGAGAAACTGTGGGCAGAGACAGTGCTCAAAAGAGCTGCTTCTATACCATCCATTTTCAGGATGCTTCTATCCAATGAGCAACTGTACAGAAATAGTACAGTCAGTCTCCTTTGCAAAATCCAGCTATAATGGAATTGCACTACACAGCAAGGAAGGGTTTTTATGAAACAGGCAAAGAACTAAAGTAAGAGATACCTTGCCATAAGGTACTCAGGTGGGAAGCTTGCCATGAGTACTTTTCCCAGTTCTTTAAACAGACATGACCACTACTACTACTTTCAGAAATAGTACAGAGTGTTTCTGGCTGAGGATCCAAAGCCTCAGCCAGTAACAATGGGGAAGGAGCTCCTAGGGTGATGTAAACACACTACCAAAACATTTTTGGACAGAGGGAAAAAAGCCCCCAAAAAATAACACTGTGTAAAGGGATCACCCACAACCTGAAAGCTTTTTAAGTGGCTTCAGCAACTAGAAACTAACTTGACATCTTTACAGGCAGAAGGTGGCCTCTAATAGAAGCATTTATCTCAACTGTCTATTGCTTGTACCAAATGCAATATCTTTCATTTAACAGAACAAACACAATGATAGATTAGAATGATTAGAATCTCCATTAATCAGGATGCTGCTCTCTATTCTGCTGCCTATCCAAAAGCAGCACTATCAGATAGCAGAGGGATAGATCCATTATTTTGATGAAAGTCTGGAATTAGAAGTGCAGATTTCACAGACTATTCAATAACTGCATCTATTCTAGTTACCTGAACTGGTGCAAGAAGCCATGAGCTATCAGAATTATCTCCTGCATACTAGTGATAAAAGTGATATAGTAGATGTCCATAGCAACAGAACAAACAAATGAGGAAAGCTCTGGAAGAGAACTCCGAGATTCAAGTTCTTTTTCTTTTAGGATACATTCATCAATCACTCCACATGGCTACAAACAGCCATTAAAAATATTCTTGTTCTGTGATAAACATACTAACTACAAAGCAAGGCTGAACAATGGGACAGTTACAGACAGCACTTGCTGAGATTTTGTCTCTGGGAGTCTCAAAGAAGTAAGCTGCTTCAGGTATAATCCATAAAGCCCAAATCAAATTAGCCTTTTGCATCAAGGAAATTATTACAATCCTTTACTCCTGCTATGTAAAACTTTGGCTCCAGTATTATCTTTAGGAGCATGAACAGACAGATCTCCCTGTACAGGTAAGAGCACCAACCTTGCAAAACAGAATCACATCACATTTATTTGTCAAACTGCCTCCCCATAAGCTGGTGGCCCTGTACTGCACAGCTGAAAGGCCCCAATGCAACATTAATAATCTTGCCCATGCCAGATACAGACAACCTTCTGGAGCTGGGTTTGGGGATGGGGGTTTTTTTGCTTACATTAATTCTTGCTATACCACCACACCAGACAAAAAAAGCACAAAGACACAAACTTCAGCCATTCCTGTAATAACAGGACAGCATGGCACTCTGGTAAGAAAAATGTAATTATTCTATAGAAATACATTTTATTTTTAACCTATAGACAGTCTGTGAGAATTTTAGTTATTAAATTTAATAACTAAATTTACTAATTTTAGTTCTTAAATTTAATTTAATAAATATCTACTGATAGGCAAGATCTCAACCTTGCAATCTAAACTAGCTCAGCCACTAAACTAAAAGCAAGTTTTCAGCATGTTGCAGCAGACAAAATTTAATATGTAACAAAACATTTTGGAAACTGCTCATGTCATGGGAAAAAGCTCTACCATATCACTTATCTCAATGACTTAAGCTATTTATGTGTCAATGACTGCACAGTGACTTCTTTTTTTCTTGTAACACAGGTTAAATAATTTCAAAAGCAATCCAGAAAAGACAGTAACAATACTTACTATGTGACTGATTCCAGTTTCAGCCATGTCAAATACCACTGTCAAGGGCTTTCCATGATCTCTCTTTGCATAGTGTTCTAACCAAAAAGCCACCAGTTTCTTTTTGTCAAGTTGCTGTTTAGGATCTCTTGTATGATGCTTCACTTTGAACCAAACTTGGACAAAAACACACACAAAAGTTGAAGGAAAGATCCAAGCAAACAGAAAACATCATCCAAATAACTACAGAGGATGCACTGAAATGTATTAACACCTCTGAGTTTGTGTTTAATATTTTTCCTGATTTTGTGACCACTGAACAGCCAGAAAAACAACTGCACACCTCTTCACATACCCCACATTTCTCACTTTTTCACTATAATTTTTTAGAAATTGAAAATACAAAGAATTATACCTCAGAAGAAACAATAAAGTGGAAAAACACTTTTTGTGTATTTAAAGACTATTTACGTAGATTAGTATTTCATAATTTAAAATTAAACCACATGGTCTTCACACAATATTATGTACAGCACATATTCTAAGTATGGCTGCAAAATTAATGTTTCCTTTTCTTCTTAGGTTTCCTACAGCACTGCAGTTGATGTGTTTTGAAAATCTACTTATACATGCATTAAGAATTATATAAAAAGCCACATATCTTTCTAAAATAAAATGAAAAATTCCAGGAGGTGAGCAACATTTTAGAAATGAAAGCCTAGTATATATTCTTCTGGAATAAAAAAATGAGTCATACAGAGACTTGTTTTTCCATAGAAAAAAAAACCAAGAAATCCATAGGCATAATTCAAAGTAAAAGATTTTATAAAAATGTCTGAAACCAAGTTAGTGATTATACAGTAAGTGAGAAAACAAATATTCAGGGCAGTATTGTGAAGAGTTGCTTTCATTTTTGCTACTTTTATTGTATAAAAGTTAGACAAGCCTGAAAATAACTTTAGATGTCCTCAATAGTCTTCTCCCTGAAACTTGGAAAGCTGTAGTAAAAACCAGATTTCTTCTCCATGTTTCATGTAAAGAAACAAATCTTTTTAAATATAGCATGTTAGCTAGACTGTATTTCAAGGTGAAGAGAAACCCCCATTCAAACACAGAACATACATTAAACTGTTATATTCTTGTTTGAGACAGTGGTCACACCACCAAGCCTGTCAGAGTCAGGCCCACGCTGTGAATCTGAGGCTGCTCTGTGCAGGGTCAGGAGCTGGACTCCATCACCCTGCTGGGTCCCTTCCAACTCTGTGGTTTCTATAACAAATAAAAACTTTACAACTCAATTACCTTTTTAAGTAAAAGCAGTAGCCAATATATATCTATATCTGTTCTTAAATGCTTATTTTTCAAGATGATAAAATGCTGGAAACAAATCAATAATCAAAAGCAGAAAATAGTCTATTTTGTATAACTTACATAACTTATAGCCCTCTTTATCATATCCATGCAGAAAGAGGGCACCAATTTCAAATAACCATTTTGGAAGGACAGATTCTGATAAGTCTGCAAAACCAAATGAAATATTATTTCAGTAATCAAGTAATCATTAATAATCACATTGTAACTTAACAGAAGTCACTAAAAATGGAAAAGTCTAGCAAAAACCCCAAAAACATCTTTATAAGCCACCTTCCAAGGCCTTTATTAAATTAATGCAAATAGTAAAGATCTCAAATTTTCTCAGTATCTTGTTCTCTTGCTACAGAGTAGAATCTATTTACGAAGTAAGAATAATTGAAAAACATCAACAGAAAAAAATGCTTCAAATGTTTATTTTTTTTCTATCTGAAGCCTCCCCACCATGCTCTATCCTTCCGAGTGTGAAGTCCTGTACATAGAGCTCACCTTCAAAATATTTACACAGCACAAACATGAGATCTTTTATTTAATGTACCAGACCAGTGCTATTACAATGAACAACACAGCTCTGTTTGTTGTGAGGCTTTTTGTTATTTGCTTGTTTTTTAAAGCTCTATGATGCAAAGAGACAAAGCAAGAGATAGCTGCCTTCCTTCCTTCCCCTTAAGCAAACTTTCAATGGACACATGGAAACCACAACAAAACTGAGACACTACTGGTCAACATAAAAAAAAAATACTTTTTCTCCTTTTTTCCTCTTTTGAAAGTTCTTGCTCAGCTCTCCATGGTACTTGCAAACCTTTAAGAGGTTCTTAATGAAAGTACATATAGAGGTCAGTGGAAGTTCAAGAGAAAAGCAACACACACCTTCAGAACCCTTGTATATCATAGCTTACCATTAACTGTGTATTCCTTCCTCCACTGAAAGCTTTCATCAATCATCTTTAATGTATCATCCACAACATCATGACGCCAAATCAAGTAGTTCTCAACCCATTTATCATCTTGCTGAAGTCTCTCCACATCTCTAGAATCATATTTATCTGATTTATCTAGGAAATAAATAAGTTAGTGTCTATAGCATTTGCTTCAGAAACATGCAGAGATTTGTTAAGTTTAAGTCTATAAGCATCTACTTGGTACATAAGAGTTCTCTTGCAGTTTCAAATTTAAGGAAACAAAACACAGCATGATAAATTAATGAAAACCATTTATCTGCTGCAATGATATTTAGGGACACTACAACATTACTCACACTAGAAAAATATTTTCTGTGATCCTTATGCAACAAAAAATACAAGGTGCATTTGGGACAGGTGTAATTTTTCTAAAACCAGTTTTGTGCAATTATTAGAATCTGTGTACTGATGAATGTATATACTAAACATCACCAGTACATGCTTGAGTTCTCAAACTTGTAGGTATCAGCATATTAGAAATAAAATGTCTGACAACAAATATAAAATTCTTGGGTTTGAGCATGCACTATACATTATTGCATTAAACAAAATTGTTTCCATTTTAAAAAATTACAGTTTACACTTGTTATAAATTGTTACCCTACCCAAGAAAAACTACATGCAATTCCAGAGTAGCATAAAAGCCCCCAAGGCTTCTGGTATCTTCTTGTATCACATCAGCAACATGATAAGAGGCTTACATGCTTTTGGAAGTACTTCCGATGAAACAAGACTTACTGCTGCTCTGAGTTTTTTTTTAGCTTTAAACAGGAAAGTAAAACAAATGCTAAATGGACCTATTTCTACTGTAGATACACTTTAACAAAAGCCTGGTTTTTAAATCAATGATCCTCTGTCTGAGAAATTGGTAAAAATAGAATGTAAATCAAGAGCCCATAATAGAAACAGGCTTCAAAAAGCAACAGACACTGATACACATCTCTGCTAACTAATAAAAAAACATAAGCTCTTAAAGTATTCACAGAATTTCATTATTACCATGGAAAAAATTAAGACTTAATAAAAGAGATTTAATTTTCACATACTGGAAAGAACTGTTCCTCTGTCAATAACAAACTGCTTTCAGAGCCATTTACAACTATCTAGAACTGTGATGGAATGGCTTGGCAATGTGTGTTTCAGTCAGACAACTCTGAGGAAGAGGTTCAGAAAAAGACACCACTAAATTCTGCTAATATTTGTTGTTTTACTGGCCTACATGCAAAAATATGATCTATTTTACTTGTCTTTCCATTTATACTGTTTCCTATTATAAATTAGTCAATATAACTACAAGAATATATCTATTTAAATGTGCCCATTCACTAAATTGTAGTTGCACTCCCCAATGCATCTCTTCACATCTGACTGCTTCTCACATACAGAATGTTCCCTTCTTCATTAGGTTTCAAATTTCTCCCTCCCTTAATCCCACATTCCACTGCTTTACTTTGTTCCTTAGATAATCATGGAATTTATTCCCACTTTCCTTAATCTTAGTCCCCTACTTTCTCCTCTGCCCAAAAGCCTCTAATCCACTAAAATCTCTTTAACTACTTAATTTCCTTTTCTCATCATTTCCATACTTGCACTGGACAGCAGATTTCCTATATTCTGAGCCCAGTGAAGTGATCACTCAGCATCAAACTGAAGTGTTCAACTTCTCTGTGGCTCTAGAGGAACGACAAATGAACTGCAAAAATCCTGGGAGTGAAATGTTGTAGTCTCAACTGCTTATTTGAAATTTGTAATTCCCCCAATGTTTTAGGAAGTTTTGTCTGAGAAAAGCTAGCAGTACTTAGTTTTAACTACTTCACTTCACCTTGGTTTGATTAATACACACTGGCTTCAAGCTATGACTGACTGCAGTTAATCAGCCAAGCACTTTGCAGAGATCAGTCCCATGTGTATCTTATATAAATAAGGGATTAGGGTACTCTGTAATTAAAGAGAAAACCTACCATCAGGTAAAAACTGACAGGATAACATTTCACATCACTTTTTGAGGCTCTCTTTGCTTTCAGTATCTGTCTGAAAGCACAACAGCACTGTCAAAATGAGAGAATTGTGCACCTTGTATCAAACTGTAATTTAAAACCATTGACATACCACTACATGGAACAAACCTCAGAAAACATTTCTCAGCCACTAACAAGTTTTCCCAAACTCTGAACTTAGAGAATGCTTTTAAGAACATGGACTTTTAACTTTGTGAGTATTTTAAGAAAATGAAAGTGAAAGAGAAACAGAGAAAATGTTTAATCCAAGCTTCCAACATCAATGGAAAGCAAGCTGCATTAAGTGATTAGGATAGTTGAAAAAGCATCTTTCCCTCTCTTCTGTAACTAAGTTCTCAGCAAGACACATGTAATCTGAATTTACATATATGCCACAATATACCCAAAAACCAGGGGAAACAACTATTCAAGTTCTAAATCCACAAGCACTTGCAGAATGCCAGTATTTGTATCAGGTTATCTTAAGACTGACAGAACAACAGTACTGAGTACTAAATTCTGTATGACTTTTACCTGCTTGATCCAATTCTTGCCACAAAATAAGTAAAATTTAGAATGAGAACGTGAATACCAAACAAAGGTGTCTTGTGTCACACACAAAAAGCAGAGTGATATAAAATTGATGGAGCCCTTCCAAGAACACAGTGATTAAAAATGGGTCAGTTCAGAAGAGGAATTCCTCTTCAAATCTGTACATGCCACATAATTCTACAGACATCTGGAAACTCGTTTTCAAAATATACTGTGAAATAATCAGAATGATTCTAATTTTAAATCATTCATGGAACACTTGGATGCAGTTACTGTATTATTAGAAACTTCTGGAGTTGAATGAGAATTAGTTGAAATAAAATAAGACCTTTGAGATTCTCAAAAAAAATTAAATACATCCTGCACAACAACTAAGAGGCCAAAAAAGAAAATATTTGAGGGGCACCCATATGGAAATTCAGGTGGAACTACAAACTGAAGTAACTTACCTCAGACAATCTCCAAGCCTACCCATTTAGATACCTGTAACCATATACTGATGTTTTTCTCAAAGGAGAATTAGGTGCTTGCTTCTTCACACTTTCAGGAGTGCCACCAGGACACTGAGACACTAAGTTTAGTCACCCTCAGCTCAGGAAGAGACATCTCTGTAACGGAGTCCATAATGAACAGAATTTTGGGAGGTATTTGGAGCACACAGCACTCACCCCAAAGGTAACACAAGGAACAGCACTATCAGATATTTCTGTTCAGAAAGGGCTACTGAAAGCCACCTGTGTAGTAGCAGTGCCAGACTTTTGTGTAATATTTCATAGTCCAGAGGCTTCGAAACCTGGTTGCTCCCTCAGCCCAGACACTCCAACCTTTCTGTATCATAGAATAGTTCCACAGCCATGGAAGAGGCAAAACTGGGATGCTGCAATACTTTTCCATTGACCCAGGAAACTGTAGAAACTAAGCAAGACTCAGATCCAAAAAAATCAAGAAAAAACATAATCTGCCAAATTCTAAATTCCACATAAAGGGAGTGACAGTAGCAAGGAGATGTGGCCATTATTAACCCTCTTTATTCCTTTAGCTGAAAGCTCTTCAGGAAAATGTCAGTAAGCAAAACCAACCAGGTATTTAACCTTATTTTGAAAATAGTTGTTTAAAGTCACTGTCATTTTCTCACTGGGTATTTGAGGTCAAGAGAAAAGACTGGAAGAAGACAAAAGCTGTTTGAACAGCAACTTCTTATATTACTTGCCTTCCTTTTTTTTTTTTTTTTTGCTTTAGTGAGGACTTCTGTCCTTTCCATGAGCACATTCTGCCCTTCTAAAAGTTGTCTTCTTCAAGCTGAGAAGCTTCCAGTGAAACTCTACCACTTAATTACTACATTCCAACATAAAGAATCTTCTGTAACACCAGAGAACACCTCTGAAAACAACTGCAGAATGACACAAAACTAAATGCACGCAGATTTCACTGCAATACTTTCACTAGAAGATTCCATTAAGTTTTCTGAGGCACAAATTGTAAAATCCCTTTCCTTTGTTACTCTTTTTTTCAATGCCATCAAATTTCCATGTCAGGAGCCCCTGGAGCAGGTCCAGTGGAGGGGTGCAAAGAAGATTAAAGGACTGAAGCACCTCTCTAACGAGAACAGGCTGAGAGAGCTGAGCCTCTTCAGCCTTGAGAGGAGATGGCTGAGAGGAGACCTCATCAATGTCTGTCAGCATCTGCAGGGAGGTGGCAGAGGTTGGGCCCAGGCTCTTCTCAGTGGTGCCCAGCAACAGGGCAAGAGGCAATGGCAAAGACAGATGCTCAGGAAGTTCCTCCTGGGTTTGAGGGAGAACTTCTTCATGGTGTGGGACTGAGCCCTGCACCAGATTGCCCAGAGAGGGTGTGGAGCCATCCAAGGACTGTCTGCATGCAAACCTGTGCCCTGTGCTCCAGGATGACCCTGCTGGAACAGGCTGGACCAGACAAGCCACTATGGTTCCTTCCAACTTGACCTGTTCTGTGATTACCAGGAGAACAGTGCTGTGCTGCTGGGTTTTCTTCTAGTGTTTATGCTTTAAGAAAAATAATACAAATTTGAGAATATTCAGCAGGAATACAGAAGAAGAACTACAGGACTCAAAACCAGGCAGCACAGCTGAGTCACACCCTAAATTAATCCAGAGAAGTTCAGAATTAAAAATCTGAATGACCTCCCCCTTCAGAAAAAACTCTTATCTAGAAAAGTAGTGTTAACAGAACAAGCCATACATAAAGCTAAGTAGGAACAGCAACTGCATCTTTTAATAGAGAACAAACCCAAAACCTTTATTGTACAAAGCAGAGAAAAAAAGTAACTTAGAAAAGTATGTCAAGTGATACATTACACAAAGACTCAATTTAACTACTGTCTTAAAGCTACTCCAGCCAAGAATTCTTAGTTTAAAATGGTCACAATCATTTCTCTGACTTTGGCTACAAAGAGGAAACCCATTTTAATTGGCTGTTGATGCCAACATTAAACTAAGTTCTGTAACAATTCAGGTATGTGCCTTCAGCTGCTCCATGAGAAAATCAGCAAGACTAGAAACAAATTAAGAAGGTCAGTAGCCAAAAAGGGACAGAGACAAAGAACAAACTGAACACTATTTCTATTCAATAAGGAATCATTTCAATAATCTCAAACAGCAATAGACAAATAAAATATCTGCATTCACAAAGTGCAATAAAATTTTAGCAAAGCTGAACGCTGTCAGTGACAATTAAGACTGCTTTCAATAAAAAGCTCAATCATTAATGTTACAGAGCCTTTTATGAAAGGATGATTCCCATCTATCCTTCCACCAGTCTCAGCCTGAAAGCCAAGAACCAGGGGAAACAGACTTTTCAGAGCATAAAAAGACATGCAGGTATCCAAAACATTACTTTAGGAGTCTTCCACAATAGTCTTATCACTGATTTTTAAGAGTGTCTCATATGTCCAAAAATTTATTTGCAATCAGCTCATACGATTAACAAAACACCTTTGCTACTGGCTTAAAGAAGGTCATGGTGAAATTTAATCCTTGGCATTGGAAGGATGGGAAATCTCTCTTGCAAAATCTTTTTTGAAAATTAAGATTTGCCTCAAGGAGAAAGGAAAAGGATGTAAGTGGGGAGGGCCAGGAAATAACAGACAATTAGAAACAGTTAATATACAAAACAAAATATGAACAAAACTAGTGTACTGAAAAAAATCAAACAAGACTTGATTGTAAATAATTTCCACTGTAACATTAAAATAGAAAGCAATAGCCCAGAAATAAAAGCTAATTTTAGAAATCCTCTAAGGAATGGAAATTCACTATAGAGAAAGATATGCTTGTTTGCTAGAAAACAATGTTAGTGCCAGTCAGTGCTAGAAAAAAAATCTTTTGTTTCCATTGTTCCTTTCACCAGTAAAATCATTTACGTCACCAATTCTCACAAAGACTCTAAACAGGCAAAACAAAAATTAGGCCCAAAACCAGAGAAGACAAAGTGCAGTCTGCCTACCACATCAGACAGTGTTTGCCAGTCTGTTGGGCTAACAGGGCACTACTGGAGATAAACCTTTTAAATACAAGGCTTCCATTATTGGGACATACATTCCTCACAAGAACTGAAGTTGTTTTCAGAATCCAGCTGGAAAGTTAACTGAAGAGGAAAAAACCACCCCAAGATTTCAGTTAATAATAAATACTGTTTTGCAGATAAGATGCAACAGTGGCCAAGCTTTCCTTCTAGAACACTTCAATGGCCAAATTAGCTGAAAAACTTCAGCAAGAAAGTTCTCCTACAAATTTTGGGAAAATGAGCCAGTAAGGTTCTCTGACACTTTCACATTGTATCTGGCCATCAAAAGCATCTTCTGATTTGGTCACATAAATGAAACAACTGTATAATTCAAAAACACAGATTTATGGTGCTTTCAATTGCTGAACAGAACTTTTCCCACCTAACCTTGGAAATTACCAAGACCACAGCATATTATAATATTAATATATGTTGGAATATTAGACTTCTCTGAATCTAAAATTGCAGGTTCTACTTTAATCTAAATATTGTATTCTGCCAATAAATAATTTCAATGAAAAAGTAAGATTTCAAGGACCCTCTAGGTTTTAATTTCATAACAGAAGTAAACATTACTGTAAGGCCATCACAACATTGTGACCATTACCCAATCTTCCTGCATGAGGGAAGCTAGTAACTGTGAGTTACAGAATATGGAAGAATCACTTCATCTTTGATGATCAGAATTACTGTGTTTCTAGAATAACCAGTTACATTGTTTTCCCCAGAGGGAAAACAAAACAGCAGCAGCTGCAACCTCCAGAAAAAAACCAAAAAACACAACAACAAAAAACACCAAAACCAAAAACCTGCTTGAAAACTTTTCTCCAACTTTAACAGCTGCAGTTCACCTGTAAACAGAATAAAGTTTGCTCTGTAGAGGCCCACAATTCTATGACCACACTAAACTTCACAGGAAGGATCAGCTTCTCAGTGTAGCCTGAGAGTGCCCCTAGTTTTGAAAGCAGACTAAAATTCCTGGGTATGAAGCAATCATTTGCACCTTTACACCCCAAAGGCACAGGTTTGAGGGTGCCTGCATACATGCAGCCCCACATCCCTTTGATTAAGAAGCATAAAAATATGTTTTAGAACACACACAGTAAAGGCTGATAGACCAGTACAAAATTAAAATCCTGTGGTTTTCACTCTTGATTGTGGTCATGAGAACATTAATTTGCTTGTAGCATTCTTAAGTTTGTGGCAAAATCTTAACAACACAAACTCAAAAAAGTCTTAATCCTATTTTGTTGAAAGGGCCAAGAGCCTAAAACCATGACCCAAAAATGGGCTTACTGAGAAATAGTGCTCAAAATTCTGCAAATAGGATTACAGCTTGCCTTGCAACAGTATTCAGTTATTTAATAGCCGAATCAACCAGCCTAACAGAGACATCATTACAACCAGAGAAACTTGTGGAATTCCAAGATTTTAAGCAGCAGATCAACTGAGTAACTCAAAAGAGTAATACACCTTTTCCACAATTACTGTCCCAGAGCAGCCCTAGGCTTTCTGAAATAATTATTTATGAGTGTGACTCTGGGATAACAGAATACAAAGCAAGTTGAATCACCTACCATATGAAAACACTAATTGAAAACATTAAGACACAGAAAAACTTAGACTTTAAGATGAGCCTCCACTCATTCAAGTCTGAGTTTTACAAAGATATCTTTATTCACTTTGAAATATCAAATGGTAAAATAAGCTCTCTCTACTTCAAGACTTTCTAACAAATTTTGTCATCAGAAATAAAGGTCATCTCTAACCAAGGCCAAAGTAGTCTCTTATAGGAAAGTTAGCAGAGCAACCATATGAGACAAAGCTGAACCACCCTCAAGACCTCCAAAGTTTTCCAAAAGCATGTTCCAGCCCACTACAATGAAGAAGCACATAACCCTTACACAAAAGTGACAGATAGCAAGGTAACCTCAATAGTTCTGATCAGAAACATCAAAGCAAGGCATTTGCTGGGAGAACTAAGGTTCATATTAAAGGAGATGCAGGCAACACAACTACTGCACTTTTACTGTATTTGCACTAAAGCTTGCATAGAATCATGTTTTTAGTAAAAAGTCTCTAGGTAGTCACAATGAAAGAGCCTGTTTACTACAATTGTTCGCATGTTCTACATTCCTTCAACATAAGCAATGCAAATCAACCTTGAAATAAAAGGAAACCACTCTAGGCTTTCCCCAGTCCTCCCTCTCCCCTAGGCATCCCCAGCATCTCCTGGCCTTCATTTACACATTCAAATGCACCTGCACTTAAGACCCGAGTTGGACATGCAGCATGACCTTAATTATGGCCTGCATGAAACTCAAGTGCAAGTTACTCCAGAAAAACAACTCTTCCTTTGACAGACTCGGTGAGGTCAGAATGCCTCCACTCCCCCTCCCTGACATGTTTTATGTCCAGAGAACACCAAGCACAGCAATGTCCCAGGCCATGGTCTCCAGCCAGCCAAACACCCTGCAAGAGAAAGGGACCAAGAGCTTTGCCCATCACAGTAACCCAGCAGACAGAGCACCGACAGCCAGCACAGAAACCTGCTGAGCATCGCACCCTCCCATGGAGTCAGACACCCTAATCGCACCAGGGCAAGTTCAGGTTGGACATTAGGAAGAAATTCTTAACACAAAGAGCGATCAGATATTCGCAGGGGCTGCCCAGGGAGGTGGCAGAGCCACCATCCCTGGAGGCGTTTAAGACAGACTGGATGTGGCACTCAGGGCCGTGGGCTGGCTGACAGGTGCTCAGTCACAGGTTGGCCACGAACACCTCGGAGGCCTTTTCCGACCCAGGGGATTCTGTGAAAAGGCACAGACGCTCCCAGACCTGGGAAAGCGGGACACCCGGAGCCCCGAGAGGAAAGTGACAGCGAACAAGCCCCAGAGCCCGCACCCCCCGCTCACCTGGCAGGTACTCCGCCTCGAAACGCCGCCGGGTCTCGCTTATCAGCGCCCCCTTATCCTGCCGCTGCTGAAAGGAAACATGGAACAGGAGGGCCGTGAAAGGAAGGGGAAGGCCGGGGCGCCAGACAGCCCCAGACCCTCACCTGAACGGCAGGGCCCGGCCACCCGCCCCACCAGACCACAAACCCGAGTGGCTGCGGACAGCGGCTGGGACAGAACAGCCGGCAGGCGGGCAAGAAGGCAGCAGTGAGGGGGCAGGGGCGCCGGGACTCACCTCAGCCATGATCCAGCGGGTCCGCCCGCGCCGCCCGCACTGAGGCGGCTCCGGCAGCGCGAGGAGCGGCGGGAAAAGGGGATGGAGCGGCGCCCGGGGGGCGGGGCCTCAGGGAGAGCCGTGCCCGGCAGGCCCCGCCCCTAGCCATGGCTCCGCCCCCGCCCACGCTCCCGTCATGCTCCCCGCGGCGGGAGCTTCGGAGCGGCCCTGCCGGCCGGGAACTGCGGCACTGCTCTGCCGGGAACGGCACTGCCTCAAGGGGCCCCGTTCAGAACGGCCCCGCCGGCCGGGAACCGCGGCACGGGAACCGCGGCACTGCCCTGCCGGGAACGGCACAGCCTCAAGGGGCCCCGTTCAGAGCGGCCCCGCCGGCCGGGAACCGCGGCACTGCCCTGCCGGGAACGGCGCAGAGCCCGCGGTCGCTGCCCCTGTCCTTACCCGGTGTCTGTGCGGGAATAGGAGCGGGCGGCATTGCGGCCTGAGCGGCCGCTGCGGGTCCTGCCGGTTGAGTGGAGCTCGGTGAGACGGCTGCGGTTCCCTCGCGGTCCCCGGGGCCTTCTCGGGGCGAGGAGGGAGAGTGGGAGGGAGTCTGCTTGGCCGCAAAATGTCTTCAGAGAACTTTCTCCTTCGAGGCCTTATAATTTTACCAAAAAATAAATTATAGCTATTAACAAGCACTACGCCTGAGAGAAGGTTCTTTAATTTCAGAACTCAAAGCATAGTGGCTTTCCAGTCTCCTCAGTATATTTGTGGCTTCTTCAATACAATCACATGAATTGTGAGTGTGTGGCTTGGTTCTGTCCATTTATATTACACAGTGCAGCTGTTGATTACGACAGAATTCATACTTGGGTAAAGAAACATTTCTGAAATATTTCTGTTAGTTAAATCTCTCAGTACAAAATTATTTAACTTCATTATTAATCTGTGAGATTAAAGCACATATTGGCCTCATTCTCAAATTTTTATGTATTATTGGTTTGCAACTCATCGTTATTTCTGAGGCTCAGTTCAGCTTGTCCCAAAACAATTTAATTTTCTTTTCTTATTTGCTTTTTGTAGGTGGAAAATGTCCAGAAAGTTAAAATTTCCACACAGAAATAAGCCTGACGGAAATAGGGACGCATGATTTTCTTGTAGAGGGACATACATCAAGATAAATCAAGATGCTGCTGGGTGAGCAAGATCAATTCTTGTCCTACAACGGTGAAGTCCTTGTATTTCAGTTGTCAAAACCAAAGCATGCAGAGGAAGCAGATGATAAAACAATGAATTTAAGTGTCAGAAGGATGGTGTTCAACAGAGACACTAAGCTGTTTGTTCAGAAGTCTTCTGGAGCATTCAGCGTGGGAGCCAGTCACTCAAAAATTGAAATGATTTCTTGTAGCTGCACAACAGATTCCAGAACAGGGATTATTCTTCCCTGCATTTTGATGAAGAAGAAAAAACGGAACAGTATCAAGTACTTTTTATTGTTGCTTCACAGTTCTAACCAATTTGAGCCATCCTTTTATTTTAAATTGGACTATGAGCTGAAAGAAGACATCAGGTTGTTTGCTGGCCCATCACTGCTGTGGAGACATGACAACAAGCTGTTCTACATCTCTTCCAGCACCTGTGTGGTTCAAAGTGCCCCCGTTCATCTTTCTTGTGTGGTGTGGACAGGTGAAATTGTGGGTGAAGGCACTGTTGTCTTAGGGATAAGAACTGCTTGCCTGCCAGAGACTGAAGTCCCAGATGGGTTTTCTGTTTCAGACAGAGCCATCTGGGGCAGTGAGTTCTTTGGGTATGCAATTCAATCACAGAAGTTTCTGAGTGGCACGTGCTTCATGCCTCATGCCTACAGCAGAGTGGTGTCTTCTGTCCATGTCTGCAGGAGTGAGAGACTGAGGAGACAGCTCAGAATATCACTTGTGGCCATAACCCACAAGAACCAGCTCGTTTGGTTCCAAAATGGTGCCCCTAAAGGTGTTTGTGACCTTCCTTATGAAAAGCCATGTTCAGTAACACCAGCTCTAACCAGCAGCAGAGATTTGCTATTTGCTGTGTCTTTTGCCTCTGGAAATAGCTGTGTTGTACAGAGGAGAGACAGCTTACAGGTACTGTGGGCTTTAAACAGCTCCATTTTACTGCAGTCTTTTTTGTACATATTGTCTTATTGAAAGTCCTGCAACTAAAAACCTGCATGTTCAGGTTCTTTAGATTTCTTGTTTGTTATTATTGTTGCTGCTGGCAAAATAACCTAACCTCTGTCTAAAGTATGACATTGTTTTGCTTCCATTGCTTGCTTATATATCTGATAATGAAGCTTGCATTTTCTCATTTATGAATCTGACCAAAGCTTCTGTTGCTAGTTGAAAACTGCAGTAGTGTGAAAACTTGAAGTTGTTAGGCAGTTATGAGTGTGCCTGGATGATTTGTGTTAGAAGTAACCTCATATCTTTGCCAAGTATAAACTGCTCATTGGAACAGCAAAGATTTTTGAGGCCTAATTCCTAATAACAAAATGTTGTTTCTAGAAAATGTTGTTTTATGAAAATGACTGGAAAAGGCCTTGCTATTGTTTCTTAAAATAAGGAGACAAATTTCTGCTACAGTTTTTTACTAGTCTGACAGCAAGACTTTTATAAGTCAGGAAATAAAAATTTGTACCATTTAGTTGCTGGCACTATTATAAAGAATTGTCTTTAACTTTCAAACATAGTTAAGTCTGTTGTGAAACAGAGATATTTCTCAATATCAAAGGTACAGTGCCTTTAACTGATCTTCAAGGATTACTGCTTCTAAATAAATGTTACAACATTCAGTTCAGGTGTTTGAATACACTGAAAAGTTGTCATCTTCTCTGCAGCCTGTAATCTGGAAAGTGATCTTTACAGAGAAATGGCTAATTTTTCCCAGAGTTACATAGGCTCTAAATGATGGGGTGAGAGTGAGAGCTTGAAACTTCTAAATATTATTGTATTTCACACCACTGAATAGGCTCTCTCTCAATGGAAAGCAAGCTTCACCAAAATGAGATCTCAAATACAATTTATTTATTTATTCTAATAAAAGATTTATTCTAACAAATGTGTTTTAAAACCTCTTCTACTGTAGGTGGCTTCCAAATGGCAAAAAGTGAAGTGTGTTCTGGTGGATGATTTTATTGGCTCTGGAAGTGAGCAGCTGTTACTGCTTTTTAAGGATGACTCCAATACTGACGTGTTAAGTACATTCAAAATAACAGATCTTGGGGAGGTCAACTATGCAGTAAGTTGAGCTTGCCTTTTCTCAGCTACTCAGTCTGTGCTTACTAAATTAAAAGAAATCTCAACAACTCATTAAAGTATTGATGCAAAGTGAAATTGGATGTGTGCTGTGAAATGCCCTGAAGTTTGAATACAATATTCCCTGCTGTAATCTTAAATTATCTGAAGATGTTATTTTGCTTCTCTGATTGTATCAACATTCTGTTGGGAAATTAATGCAGCTGAAAATGCTTTACATACATAATAGTTTTGCCAAAATGGTTACCTTTTAGCTAAGAACCCTTAATTTAATTAAAGCCATAGTGCTTGTTAATTATCTTCTCATAATTGGGTCTTTCCATATGTACTATCCATATGTACTAATTGCTTTCAGAAAATAGGATTTTGCTTTTAAAAGACATAATGTGATTCTCCTGGCTTGCTGTATTTTCTCCCAGATTTTTATAATGCTGTGTAATAGCCTGTACCTTACTTTCAGCTTTTTAATTCATTCAGGGTTTTGATTTGGTTTTTTCCCTCTTTCAGAGTGATATCAATTATAAACATGATGTTCCTGCTGCAGAAGGATTGCAAGAGAATGGTTTGCTTACTGTCCGAGCCCTTGAAACAAGATTACAGGTTTGTACTCAACAGTGCTGCCTCCATGTTTTCTGTAAATTACTGTTCTGTATCATTGCATTATCTAGAGGGTGAGGCTAATGATACTGTTATTATTGAAGAAGTGGTTCAGGGAAAAGGTCAACATGGTTAAGTATTTATTCTTGACTCAGTAGTAATCTGTGTTTCAGGTCTCTCAGTTGTTTTAAGTGCATTTACGTAATTGTAGTGGTCTAACATAATTTTAATTAAAAGTTTGAGATAATGCTGAAGCTGTCTTATCAGTGCTCCTTAGCAGTCATTTTACTCATGTTTAAATACCAGCTTTAAAAAATTGGAAGGTTTACTTCTTTTGCTCCCCATTACATACAAAACTTTCAGGTCCCATAGTGGCAGGTTCCCAGTGAGTGCATTTGCACAATTGGTGGCAGTGGTTATTTCACCACCTCTGATGTTCCTGGTCCTGTTACTAGTGGTTTTATAAGTGTAGTTTTGAAATGTACTATAGATAAAGCTAAAATGTGTCCTTCTTTTAACTAGAATAATTTATTAAACAAACTGGGGGAAAGTTGGGAGTTTCCCACCCAACATACCTGTCAGTGTGAGTGCTTTAGCAGTGTGTGTATTAGCCTCTACCAAATGAGTAATAATTGACAAATAGGAAGATCATTTAAGAAAAAAAGCTTTAGGGGAGAGCATGAATCTCATACTGAGTCAAGGATGTGAGGCTATTGTTAATTTGCTAAGCGTACTTTAAAGACTAGATATGAGGTAATTATTTCTGACACTTGAGAATTAGTGAAAACTAAGCAGGGTATTGTGGCAGTTTTATTTCCAGCCTTTAAAAATGAAGCAAATGAATTGGAAATAGTTTACCAGTCAATAAATAAATAAAAGGAGGACATATTAGGAAAAGACTGAAAAAGAAAAGACTTTTCTAGTTCGAATGACAAACAAGATATCTAAAGTGCATCATCCAAAAAATGGAAGCTATTTGGAGATCAGTAGACAATATGTTTTTTTTACTCCTAGAAGACCAAGAAAATAGAAGCTGGATTAATTTTGAACACCTCTTGAGGTCCCTTCCAATCCTACTTTTTTACAGCTTGCATGTTAGAGGCCTATTGGCTTTAGCAGAAGTGCAGGGGTCCTTCCAAATGCATCTTTTTCTGTTTCTGCATTTTTTTTCTTTTTTGGCAGTCATATTTTAAAACTGACTTCAGTGCTGCATTCTTGCCCTACTCATTCATTACATTACTTTCCTCTTCTACAAAGCAGAAAGTAGTTTCTGTTTCTTATTGGCTGCTCCTTCCATGAATCTAATGACCTTCTCCACCCTGCCATTGACAGCTGTATGTTCTATGTTCCATAACTTTGTTCTTTCAATACTCCAACTGGCTTCCAGCTGTACAGCTCTGTGAATCTGTGTCAGGATGAAAGGAATTATCTGTTTTGCACTTGTGACTGTTTCTGCTGGAAACTAGCCACTGGTTGGATATTTTATCTATTGTGTGCTGGTGTAGTTCTTACAGACACAAATCATTCCCAAGACCTAACATTTCTGTGCTTTTAGACCATTTTAATCTCTAGTTTTCAAGGCCATGTGCTAGCACAGGCATTGTAAGCACTTGGAAATTTACTGTGTTTTATTGCTGTAAATTTTTGAAGTTGTCAAGCTTATGAATTTGGAAATAGGTGCAGATATTTCTTTTTAACCTCACTGTTGCTAACTTGTTGAAATCCCTATTGTTCTGTATTATATTTGCTGAACAGTGAAGTACTCTTGCTGGTTTTTATAATCTGACATATAATTGAATTTCAAGGATGCTTGTTTTGAAGCAATACTGCATGGGTTCTGCTTAGCTTGGGAATTTTCAAAGGTTATTTAGTCTTGAAGTGGTGCCTCTTGATATTTATCATCAAAATTCAGGTGTTCTAGAAATTTGCAATCAAATTGAGTTTTCACAGTCTCCATGGAATCTTGTGTTTTAGAGCAAGATAAAATAGCAGATGCAGCCTTTTTGCATCCTTGTTTCTTAACCCTTGTTTTACATCTGCACAGCTGCTTTCTTAACCATGTGAGAACTTTGGCAGGAATGAATTATAGTCCACTGGATAAGTAAGTTTTATTTAAGTTATACCTAGTAATATATATAACTGCATTTTGCAGGCAGTGAAGTTGAAAAATAGATCAGCTTGAGCAATTTTGAATTGTTCTATGTTTATTTTGTATACACTATTTTGGGCCTGAATCCAGCCTTTTCTCCTTTGAATTTTTTTTTTACTTGTGTTTTGGTATCTTCTGAAGAAGACATTCTTTGGCAGAGTACTGCAGTTCCATTGCAACAGCTGAGGTTCCAGGGTTTCTCATGGTTTTAGTTGATTGTTTTGGCAGAAATAAAGTGTCTTTATGTCCACTGGTCTGTTCTTCCCCCCATTACTTGACAGTTTTGTAAGGACTATTAATTCTGGATTTACTCACAGCTCTATTGTCTTTGGCTCTGGACTGCCTTGTTTTTATGTTCTTGTTTATTTTCACCTTTAAGGTGATCTACTTTTATTTTCTTGGTTTCACAGCACAAAACTTGTAACTCCTGCTGGTGCTTGTTGTGCAGTGCATCTTGGCATGCAGCAGGAAGGATGTGCCTGTCACTTGTGACAGAGGGGGACACAACTCAGTCTTGGGTTTGCTGTGTGGGGGAATTCAGGTCTTTTTCTTGTGCTCTAGGAGGAAAAAAGGCTTGCAAAAGCCAGATTGGTTGGCAAGGATACAACAGTAAAGGTTTGGCCATTTTGACTGCTTGCACATCAGTGCTTCCCCATTTGCTTTCTGGTTCTCAATTGTTTATTCAGGAATTGGCTCCAATGAGAGTGAATGATGGTTTAGTGTTCTTATGACCTAAATTAGGGAAGTATCACCTTCATTTTCATCTCTTGAGTCAAGTCTGGCCTTGGATTATTGCTTGGAATCTGGTGCTTAGATTCACACTTAGATAGGTGACAACTTTTTTGCACAAGTTTTCATGAGTGCTGTTGGCCTAAATGTCCTTTGCCAGTGCAGCTTGAGCAGAGGACATCACTTTACTTATAAGACCTGCTTTTTTATTTGGGCTTATAATGGATTTATGTGTGTTATGTGTTTGGGGGGGCGTTTCTGAGGGGATGAGTGAAGAGGGAAGTTTGGTTTTGCATCCCAGAGTTCAGTTCTCTCCTTGACAGCGTTGGACTTCTCAGGATATTACTTTGCAGATAATAGCTTTTGAGGAGCTTTCTTAAAACCTGAGAAGCTGGCATGATGTTCTTTCTTTATTGCTTGGTTTGTGGTTTTTTTGGTTGGTTTGCCTTGGTTGGTTTTTTTGGGGGATTTTTTCATTGTGTTTTATTTAACAGAGACACAGCCAATTGTGTCTGCTTGTATATCTGTCAATTCTTCAAAATATTTACTTGACCAATAATCAATATAAATCTTGAGAAGAAGATGAAACTGCTCTCCATGAAAAAGTGAAGCAGGATTAATAATGAAAGATATCACTCAGAAATATATCTATGGAAATATATCTGAATATCTATGTAATTTGATTAAGTTTACCTTAATATTTATCTTTAACTCTAGGTTTAATATTGAAAGACCAAGATTCTGAGATTCATATTTTAACAACAGAGTAGCATGACTTGAACATTTTTTAGAAATGCTATTTGTGATTCTTGCATAAAAATGGAAAGGTGTAAAGATATTTTGACAGCTTTAATATCTTTTCTTATATGCAGTAGTCTAATGATTATCTTATACAGGCTGGTTGGACTTCTGTTCGAGAGCTGCAGCAGCATTTAGGACTCCAGAAGAGGGTTATTCTTGAGTCTTGCAGAGCATTAATAGATCTTGTTGAAGAAAGACCCCATATTCTACCAAACTCAAAAGAGGTAAAATGCGGGAGATGGGCCAGATCACTTCAGAATTCTGCCAAGCCATTTGTACAGGGTGCTGCCATCAACCACGTGCCCCTTTTGCCATCAACCACTTGCCCCTTTTGCCTGTAGGGGTTGCCACTATCAAAACTCATTAATCTGCTATTTAAGTCTGTTTTTTTCTTAACTTGCCAATATATGTAGTTAGGAGTAAATTTCATTGTTCCTACTTGAAATTGATGTGCACAATATCTCCTGACAACTGAGTGGTATGGAGGAGTAACCTCTTACAGAGTTAGTGACAAACAGGAGGGGAGTGTAGAGTTCTAATTGCCACAGTTGCCTAGATATTGAATATCTGTCTGAAATCTCACATGTTAAAAAAGGGAGTTGTCATAGAACTATGTGAACAAAATTGATTTTATAATGGGGGCAGATGTGAACTGTGGGCTGAGAAGGTGATGGAGGTTGGGAAAATCTTATTTTAATATGTTGCTCAAAAGAAACCTCATTTAATTGAAATGGAGTTGATCTCTTTCAGTTACTGTTGTGGCATCTTTCAGGTTTTCTGGGTTTGCACAGAGTATTGAGCAATTAAATGCAATAATATAAATTCTAGCACCTTATATCTTTGGACAATTAATTGTATGACAGGTCAAGATTTTGACATATGATGTTTGCAAGGAGAGAATAAATTGTACTTTACATGATGATATAATGTGTTTTAAGAAAATTCAATTATATTTATTGTAGAGAATAAACTAGTTTTTATATTTCTTTCATTTTATGTATCTTAAAAACTCTTCCAGCAGTCACTTGTGGTAAAACACAAAGTAATGCAGTATAAAAATACCAAAATCTATGCTTAATTTATCTAAAACCCACATTTTTCTGTAAGGAAGGCCTTGTCTCTCTCTGGGATGATGTAGAAAATCCTCCTGATTCTCTTAGTAAAGAGACACCATCGGCATCTGAAGCCCCAGAGCACTTCACAGAGGAATTGTGGCAGCGTGTTGTGGGAGACAGCCTGGTAGTTGGAGTAAAACTAACTGAATCATTTTATTTGTGAGTATATACACTTATCCCATCATTTCATTGGTAGTTTTGTAGAAAATGAATATGTAGATTAAGCTCTGCAGTAAATTTGAACTTTCTCATGTTGAACATGTTCATATAAAGTGTTTCAAGTATGTCTTTGTCAGTATTTTTGCTACTGGTTGCTTGCTCTCTAGCACTATGCAGAAAAATACATTATACAGCCAGAAATCAGTTGTGTGAGTATTATTGCAATGTTACTGGAGATTTTTTACAAAAGAGTCTTCTTTGACAAAAATTATGGCTCTTTGTAGTCCATGTTGACATAGCAATGCTGACATCAGTATGTGCTGTAAATAAAGGTCTGTCTTAGCTTAACTTGGTTCCTGATGCTTTACTGTTAGGTACTTGCCATTCCTAATTGATTTGCTTCAAGAAGCACAAAAGAAAATATATTAAATTCTCTTACCAACTAATTAGTACTTAGCTTTTGAATTGAACTCTTCTAGTCAAGTACCTAATCAAAATGCTTGCACTGCTTGTATTTTGTGTAATTTGTGTGGAACAACCAGCCATACAATACTTAAACCTTCAAAATAATTTGGTTGGGTTTTTTTAATTATCTTTAAAATTGTTTATTCTATTTATTTTAATTGCTCAGTTCTAGTTGTAAATACTACTTATGTCATTTTCCCTTACAGAGAGGGAACTAAGTTGAAACAGTGTGAAAAAAGAGGATTACGTAAAATATAAAATTACAGCATGAATTGTGTAATGTAAACTTTGGTGGAGTCAGAAGTTCTCTTTTGACCCATGTTCCCACAGGCAGTGTAGCTGAGGCTGTGTTAGGCTGAGCTCAAAGACTACTGATGCCACTGGAAATCATTCAGGTGGCTGTGAGGGAGCTGACCTGTTGGGCCCTCTGGCCATTCTGCTGGAGCTGTGGCTGGATTCTTCCTCAGCTGCCAGGCTGCTGTAACTTTACAAGAAAGTTAACCTCATCCTCTTGACAGCCTCTCTTAAGAGCCACTGAGGCAAAAGACTGTTTTTTGCCTTTTTAGAGTTTGTTCTTTTAGCTTTGATGATGATGCCTTTGCTTTTTTTTTTTTTTTAAGTGAAATGCTTTATTCCTTTATAACTTCAGAAATCTTCAGCAGATTTTAAAAACCAGCAGCAGTCTAGCCCTCTCCCGCATTTTTAGAGTTGACAAAAGATCTGTGGAGAAGCCATTTGTCCAAGATTACCTGACAGGCCAGCTGCAGAACCTGGGTCTTCTGAGCTCCAGTTCAGTACTGTGCACAACAATCTGTGTTTGTGGGGAAAAGGACTTGCTTTATCTCTAGTCCCAACACTGTAATTCTTTATTGACTATTTTTGTGATTCCTACTAATGCAAGATTGCAGTGATATCATAGATTGATTTATGAGGTGGTGATACTTCTCTGTAAAGAAAATTAGACATTCATAAGATTTTCAAATGTCACTGACATCTTGAGATTGAATTGATTGACAGGATAATATATTCATTGAGAGAGGATCTGGAACAGTAATATTAGGATTTCATTGAAAGGGTCCTGTGTTGAATAAATAAAGTACTTCATGCATTTCAGGAAATTGCTGCATGTTCAAGATAATAGTATCTTAAACCTTTTATTTTACTCTACATTCAATTTTGTTTGAATATCTATAAAAATGTAGAGTGTCAGAAGAGCTTCTAGTCCTCAAAAGGGCAGAATTGATATTTTTTGCAGTTTTTTCTTAAAAAGAAAGTCAAATCTTTTTTAAAAAAATCCATAAATGTCAGAGTATCTTTATAGGTTATGTAGACTTTTCAGCTTTTTCTGGCTGAATTAAACATTCAAATTCTTTTGGTTGAAATGAGGTGTCTGACTTGTAGAAGCTCTTCAAAAACTCAGTCCACATTTTGAAAAATCTTTATACTTGGTTTATATGAAACAGTCATGTGAAGGACTTGGCCTCTTTGCAAAGTCTATGACTTAATCTGGAATGGTATTGGAATTTATGTCTTAAATGTCTGTATTAAGTCTGCAGAGTTGTGGTTATTTGTCAGAAGGCAAAAATGTGAGCTGGAAGTGCAGTCATATTGTATGGATTTTCACAGGTCACTGAGTGATGTCAGTTTATCTCTAGTGATGGATCAAGACTTCTCTTCGATTTCTCCAATTATCAAGTGTCAAAGTAAAATCATCAAGCTGAACAAAGCCTTCTCAGCATTGGCAGTCTCCCCAGGTCAAATTGAACCTCCTCCAAAAAAGATGAAATTGGACTTGCATAGCAAGAATGATCTGAGAAAAGAATTTCCTAAGAGATCTTCAAGGATTCAGCTGGATGGAGCAAAGACAGTCACTGCTGTCACCAGCCTTTCACCACTACTGGCATTTCATCGTGTGTGCTGTGTGGTTCTTCTGCATGCCAGGAAGCAAAACCATCAGAATGATGATTTACAGCAGAGCAAAAAGATTACTGTACTCTGTGGGAAAATTTTGTTAAGTCTGGAAGATATTTCAAATGGCAGATACTCAATAAAGATGCTCAGGGATAATAGTTACTGTACAGGTAAATGGATTTATATATTTGGGATTTACAAATATATATATTTAATTCTTCTGTTTATTCTAGGTGGTGCCCAGCTAAGTTTCTCTCTGAACACAAACTGCACAGACTTTTTGGGAATTAAAGCTGGGTGAAATAGGAGATGGAACATTTTTCAAATTCAAAAAAATGTTTCGTGAGTTGCTGTAAGGTTTTGCTAGCATTGGTGATGAAGGGTATCTGGAAAGGATAATTTTGAAGATAAGTTTGAGTAAAGAATGCTGAAACCTATGTTTTTTCTATAAATAAGATACTGTAATTAGATACAGAAGTTTTTTTCTGACATACTACTACCTCTTAAATAATACCAAAGTAATTGAAGCTCTTCCTCATCTACACATATATTAGGGTAATTTATTTTCATTTCTTTCAATATTCCTGATTGAATTGATTATGAACTGGGCTTTTGCTCAGGTAATGAAATATCTTTTTTATTGTTTGCAATGAATTTTAATTTTTCTTCCTTTAATGCTGTGTCACTGGTAAAGCCAACATGTCATCTTACTATCACAGGCTATTAATAGTCTTCTTTTGGCAAGGTGATATTTATCTTAAGAGCTTTCATTATACTGGTGGTGCTCCATTAATCAACTGTTTTGCCTGACAGAAGTAGGGATAAGAATTTAGGTGAGGAGAAAATTCCCAAAGAATGCCTAAAGTCAGGTGCAAATCTTTCACAAAAAACCTGGGAATATGAACCAAAAATCAAAGTTCATTTAATGCATGCGGCATGATCAAAATATTTAGTTCAATACCTTTTTCTACTGTATTTTCTTGCAGGTTCCATGGAAGATATACTTGCTGTCCTTGCAGTGTCTGTCAGATTCTCCTTTCAGATTGTGTCTTGTGACTGCACACTGACTCCAGTCAGTTCATGGTTACTGGGAGAAATGGAGTGCACACCATTTAAGGAATGCCAGGACAACATATTCTGTCATAAAGCAGGAAATGTCCATGGTACAATTTTTAATTGGGCCCTGAATAATCCATTTGAAGGAGTTCTAACAATATTTTGCAGGTAAAATCACTTGAAGACCATAGCTTATATTCATCTTCCATACACTATTTTTTATCTTTGTGCTGTTTCTTACTGGTACCATAAACAGCAGCCAGGATCATAACCAGTAGGCTGCCAATATGATGATATGGTAACAGTCACCAATAACAGACCTGTTTTCAGATCAGAACTATGGCAGAACCTGAACTGACTTGTTCCATTTTGTCTAGGCTGGAACATTGAATTACAAATAAGTCTAGTCTCCATTAATACCTGCTTGGTACTATTCCTTCTCTTCATTTGGCTGCATCATAATTTTATATTCTTTTTTTTCTTACATTATTCTTACTATAATATGTTATTTGTAAATTTTTTCTTCCATGTGTGTTAATTAAAAAAAACCCTTCAATATTAAATATTTATATATTAATACTAAAATAAAAAACAACCAAACAGCAAACCCCAAGTTAAATTAAATTTATTGCTGGGTCATTTTTTAGTTTAGTATTGCAATATTAATGTAGTCTCATTTTGTACATGTTTCTGCTATGGTTATTTCCTATCTACCATGATTATGAAAAGGAAATACTCTGAAGAGTCTGACTGGTGTCCTTTCTTGTGCAGATTCTTGGACAAATATTTCCTAAGCCAGGTTAGGCAAGTTAGTAATGCTGCCACAATTTATGACTTAGCTGGTTAAGGCTTATAACATAAAAAGTACTTCTGGGATATTGAAAAATGTTGCTGTTTTGAAGAGTTCAAGCTCTAAAATAAAAAAGAGAAGGTGTAACTGCTAAGAGTGTATTTTGTAATGGGGTTCAGCCTTTTCCTCAAATTAGGAGTTGATTTCCTCTATGAAATGTTTAAGCAATCAGTAAAATTTTAACTCTTAAGACTTTTCTTCCTTTTGAAAGGTGATTTTACTTGCTATTCACTTTGACTGTTCACCATTCACTTTTGATCCCATTTTGTTAATTACTGAGCCCCATGTTTATGGGCTGTGATTGCATTTTCTGTATCTTTCATTCCTGTGTTTGGATTGATCTTTTACCTGCCTAGGATGTTTCTGTGATAGGTGGAAACTACAGAGTATACTTTTTTTGACACCATCATAATTTTGTTTTACAGAAATCTGACTGTCTTGTTCCAGTGCCTTCACAGCCTCACTAGAGTTCTCCCTCCAAGCTGCAGTGTAAAACTCCTGAGATCTGGAAGCAAAGCAGTACTTGCTGAACAGTTAGCACTGGCTCTGGAAAAGGAAATGCTCACCTTGAAGAATTCTCTTTTCTTAAAAGAAACTAAAGCTGGAAACAGTTTGACATGGGGGAATGAGTTTGGCAAGAAAATCAATAATGCTCCTCTGGCTTCTTTACTGGACACTGACGAAGGAGTCCAGCAATTCAGAAAGAAGCTTCAGAAGGAGAGGGAAGAGAGTGTGCAAAGTATGAACCAAACACTGAATGGTGCCCTGTACCAGAAAACTGCTTTGAAAATAGCAGAAGCTCAGCTCAGTTCAGATATGATTGTGTGGAGACTGGCCAAGTCCTAGAAACCATTGACTAAATTTATTTTGAAAAAAAAATTATTAAAGTTGTACCATTAAATAATATTTATATTTTCATGGGTACTTATACTGCTTTGTATTCTATAGCATTTCTGTGTCGTTTCTACAGATAAATACTGGTATTTTAATTGATGACTATTGGAAGAATGTAATATTAAGATTGAGTCATTGTTTTGTTACAGATTTTGAAAATATATTTTTAAGATATTTTCTAATAATTCCTACTCCAAAATCATAATTCTTGGACTATAAAATAACTATTGTAGAAAAAAAAGAATGTGTGTGTTCTCTTTAAAATAGTTCTGTTGAACCTTGAAAGATGACTGTTTATACATGTCAAATGTAAGCCCTTTTTAGAAATCTTAAAGCAGGTATAGAAAGGATTTAGGTTATACAACCAAATGTAATTCATAATTTGAGTATGGAGTTTATGGGCAAATTCAAAGAAGAGATTTTACCTTCAAATGTCAAACCTTTTAAATAACTTCTAGTGCGACCACTTGAGGAACAGAACTCTGTACCTTTGAGCCTTATGTTCTGGTGTCCAGCCTCAGATTTATGGAGTATTTATTGGAGGTGGAGAACCAGATCAGACCTCTCAACCAAATTTCAAGAACTCATGAAGATTCATTACATGATAAAGCTGCTTCAGCTTTGAGAGGTCCATTCCCACACACTTTAGTGGTAGGGCTAGTCTCACTGGTAAATCCTGGCCTTCCTTGGATGTTAACCTAGCTTCAGTCAGGAGATTGGCTTGCTCAACCCCAGAGTCAGATGATTGTCTGCTGATGCTAGCTGCTCAGTGGTTTTGGCTTATCTCAAGTACTTTAAATAATATTGGGCAACTCTGTTATTATTCCTCTGTTTGCTGGCTTGAGAAATATCCTGCTTATGCTTCTAGGAAGAGAATGGCCTGTACTACTTACTGAGATAGTAATTTCTAATCAAATTTTTCCCACTAGCTTCTTGAGAGGCAGAGAGGTTAGAAAATCCCAAATCACAGTAATTTGCTTTCTGTTATCTCTGCTTTATGTAAGTAAAACATTCTTATTGCTTGTCACCATTTTTCTGAAGTTGTCAGAGTTTTGCTTTTCATTTTCTCTGCAAACAGAGTTAATAGTTGACATCTCCAGCATGATCTCTCTCTGACAATAAAAGTCTGGTAGGAAAAGTGGAATATATTTATTAACTCAAAGGTATACTGATGTTTCAGAACAATTCTTTTTGTCTCATCAGAAAGTTCAGCTCCTGTATGTATGTCCTCTAGAAGCATTAAGTGGTGATGTTTTTCAGTCCAAGGCATCTTTTCATTCTGGCAATAGGAGTAAACTGGTGCACCTTAAATGCAAACATTGCCTAAAAAAACAGTAAATGAGAGAGCTGTACTTTGTAACCTTAATCCACTTTAGTGATATAGCTTCCTTTTTGAGACACTCAAAGTATTAAATTACTCCTTTTTAGCTATAGAAAAAGGAAATCTTCCATTAAGATGTCAACAATGTCTTAAGAAATTGTTGTCATGGGTATTTGGACCTCAGTATTTACTGGATGAGAAAGTTGAGGGTTTTTTTACAATTCTTTCTTTGTTAAGCCACAGTCAGGCAATAGTCAAAGCTTAAGAACCCATTGTCAGGGCTTGGCAGTCAGTTGTCACTGAAATTTCCAGAAGTTCCTGATTATAAACACTTAAATGAAGCAAAAAATCTCAAGGTGCAATCCTGTAACTTGCAGCTAAGGGCAGGACCTTGCTAAGCCATGTGAGCAGAAACCTTCAGAGCAACAAAGCTCCTGTTCAGCCCAGGGCACTTGAAGGAGATTTTGCAAAGCAGAGTAAACAGTCCAGCAGTTGATTTTTGTCAGCACATAGCAGCCTGCTCTCATAACTAACTATTGTTGGTCTGTCTGTCTTTAAAGAGAAACTTCCATTTGTGTTCACATCTCTTTGTTGAAAAAACAGATTGGGACAAATGAGGAAAAGCTGCTAAACACAAATGTTGGCTGTTTCTAATTCCATGGAGTTGTTACTTTAAAGAACCAAACAGTGAAATCACAGCAGTGTAGAAGTGAAGTTATAAGAGTAGAATAGTAACAACATGTTCTTACTAAAGAGACTTTCCTGAGGCACGAATGCTTATTTTGTAAATCATCAGATGAGGTCATTAAACACTTTCCCAACAGCTCTAGGATTCCTGGGAGCAGTTCTTCAACTGTCTAGTAATGCATAATAGCATGGTACAACTTTCAGTGGTAGTGATGCAGTGTACTGCATATGTGCCTTACTTTTATGTGCCAAAATCTAAAGGTCTCCTGGAAACACTTGAAAGGTTTCTGCTGATATGTGTGAGTTTTGGCCAGGGATAAGGTAAAAATGGAGCGGACATTAGCAAAGATTCAGGCTCTCTAGAAACTTATCTTCAAGTGGCAGCAGCAGACATTTTGTTTAGAGGTATTTGCTTTCCTAAACTTGCCTTTCAGAGGTAAAAGCAACTAAAGGTTGCATTTGATCTCTCGTGATGATTAATGTCTGGTGCATGCTGGTGTTCAAATGAGAAGTCTAAATTACATGGACTAGAAAAATGGCTAAGTTGCCTAAGCACGTTTCTGTCATGAGCTGTTGGAGTCCCATTTCTGGACCTCCAAGAAGGTCTTGGAAATGAGATCTTGCATAAAGTGGGTTTTGCAAGTACTTTTCTGAACAAGTCATTTGAGAAATTAAATCAGTGGCAGCAGCAGTCCTAGTTATGTAGGAATTAGTACTGCCAAGAAATTACTGATAAAATAGTTGGATGTTTGATTCTGTAAACAAATTCCCCCTTCCATGATAGTAGATCAAGTTGGGAAACATACACATCCCAAGGAACAGAAGGCTTTTTGCTGCTGAAGCTGCTACTACTAGCAGATAACTATTCACATCACATTCACTGTCTAACACTGATGACTCCTCTCTAGGAGTAGTCACGAATGTACACTGGGAGGTCAGTCCCCACCCTGGGACCTCTGGCTCCTAGGTAAGTTACAAAGTCCTTTGAAGAGCTCTTTGCTTCATCAGGTGTGGATGTGTAATCCTGTAGGGCTTTTTGTTTGCATGTAGCAACCACTACCTGTTTGTGCATGATCCAAGTTAATGCAAACCATGGTTGATACTCATGTGTGCAGTGGCTTTGTACACAGCCAGCAGGCTCCTGGTGTTCTGAATTTATCAGTTCTGGTGGATTTAACAGAACAACTGGTCTCCAGAGCTTAACAGTCCTGGGAGACTTTCACATGCTGCTTCTCAGCATGTAATAATCTCCTCAGCCTGCTGCTTGCTGGTAAACATTCCTCCCTCCTGAGCTGGAGAACCTGTCACATAAGCCCACACAAAGGGACCTTTGATAAGCAGTAAAATTGTGCCCAGAATCAACTTGTCTTGACCCCAGTAGGCCTGATTTCTGGAAACCAGCAGATGTCAGTGGTGTCTGACAGGTATCTGTAGGAATGGTCCCAATCTTCTGGCCATGGCAGTGTTCTGTGTGCAGATATTTAATTAGCAATGACTCTCTTATCACATGTTTCAAAAGACAGATATGCAAAAAGGAAGTCTGATATAGGAAGTATGAGCTGTCATGACTGGATGCACTCTTACAATGTTAGCACTTTTAAAGTCAATATGATTTAAGACCCTAAGAGGGATTGTGTGTCAAATATCTTTGTTTTTTCTGGCCAAGTTGGTGTAAATATAACACAGATTAATTTACACTAATTAATTAATTTACAGTAATTAAGAAATAGATTAATTTACAATAATTTTTCTTTGTCATTCTAAGGCTTCTCAGGGAAAAGAAACCTGTCTGCTCTAGAGTGGTTTCTGTTGGACAGTAATATTTCCTTTATAACTTTGTGTGTGTATGTATTCCAAATCAGCCACAGGCTGCCCACTTCTTCACAGTAGTATAAGTTAGGCCTTCTCTCTCAGCTGCTAATTTTTGTTTTCCCACATCTTTTCACAATTTGGGAACTGTGACAGTCATATGACTGCTCTCTTCTGAATCATACTGACTCTGCTGACAAAATAATAATGGTAGAATGTTTATCCCTGAGCGAGTTATTCATTACAGGCCATTAACAAAGATGATAGGCTCAGCAAAAGGAGTATTCAAACAGTGGTAGTTTCTTCTCCTCCCTTCTCTACTGCCCTGGGAGAAACAAAGTTTTAAACAGTGGAAAGAAAAATCAATGCCAGGATTTAAAATCCCAAATAGTTGTAAATTTGAGTATTTTCTTATTGCCAGGTCTCATTTATTTTGAGGTTTGGTTGTGGTTTTTTTCAATATTTTCTTTTTTGCACTCTAGGCATGCCATTGATTAAGAACAAGGTGAACACCAGCATGTAGCAGGAGTTTCTAGCCAAGAAAATCCTCCCAGGGAAAAAGCAAAAGAGTAGGAGGTTTGACGCTGCTGTTTAGTCATGGTAATTATTGCTTTAAGGAGGTGATACTACTTAGGTCTTTTCTGTGACCTCATACTTGTGGTATGTAAAAGCTTATCCCATGAATATATTGAGAAATTCATAATTCAGAGGTGTATGTTTGTAAAGCACTTGGTTAGAGCCAAGGCTGCCGGGTTTGCATCAGTCCGGTTCCTGCCTCGAATCCTGCATTCACAGAACCCTGGTGCTTAACTCTGGTATTTAGGTCAGAGGCACAGGTTGGTGAAGCAGTCTCAGGTTAAATAATCCTCCTCCTTATTGTCTAAACGGGGAGGTGGTGCCTCATGAGCCGCTGTGATCCTTACCTGGCAGAGAGGGAGAAAGGGAAAGCTTTGAAGTGAGTCCTTCAAAACAGCGTGCGCTGCCTCTGTGCCTGCCCCTTCCCTCTCCCCGGAGCCCCAGCTACAGCTTCCAACTGAACATGTCTTCTTTTGTAATCCTGCCTTTGAAATGTTCTCAAGCATGAGGGGAAATGCAGAAGCTGCCAAAAGCTTCCAAAATTTATGGTTGGTGGGAATCTGCTGT